TCTTCTGTGGGTCTCCCCTGGGTTGACTCTTGCAGCTGCAGTCAGCTAGTGGGGTGGCTGGAGGCTGTTTGGTCTCAGGTGGTTCCCCTCACGTGTATGGCTGGCTGGCAGTTGGTGTAGGTGGCTGGGGTAATGGCTCTCACTGGGCCATGTGTCTGTAGCAGGCCGGTTCAAGCTTGTTCACATGGCCGTGCTCGTAGGGTTCCCAGGAAGGGTTTGTTAAACTCTTCTCTGTAAAAAATACCTCTTCCTGTGACTTTGCATGGATCTTAGGAAATGCCAGCGCTCCTGAGTACGGCCTACTAGGCCAGGCCCTGCCCACCACATCCAGCCTCACTCTCCCCTGCTCCCCCTCACTTTGCTGTCTCCACTCCAACAACAGTGGACTTCAGGGCTATGCTTCCTCCCACCCCAGAGCTCTGGAACCTATTTTCCTACTGCCTGGAGGACTCACCCCTCTCCTAGTCAGGTTAGTAATTATTCGTAAAATCTTAGCACAAGCATCACTTCTTCCAGGAAGCCTTTCGGAAAACCCTGGCCAGGTTAAGAGTTCTGTTTTCCTTTCTTAAAGTATCTATCTCGTGATTTTTCTTCAGAGCACGTAGCATAGTTTTAAGTTTTACTTGCAACTAATAACCATAGCCAACATTTAATCAGCCCTTGCTCTGCGCCCGGGGCTGTTCTAAGAACTTCATGGGTGTCTGTTCATTTGATTCTCTCGAGGCACAGAAAGGAGAAGAAACTTGCTCCAGTTCACACAGTTGAGGAGTGGTACAGGCAGGTCTCAAACCTGTCAGTCTGGTTCCAGAGCTAACATCTTAACCATTCTGCTCTGTTCCCTCCCTCTGAAGTAAATAATACGCATCTCCCTACCAGACTGTGAGCCGGCCAATGGAAGATATTCTGTGTGATGGACTAAACCGTGTCCCCTCCAAAATTCATATGTGGAAGCCTTAACCCACAATGTGGCTGTATTTGGAGGTAGGGCCTTTAAGGAGGGAATTAAGGTTAAATGAGGTAATAAGAGTAGGGAGGCCCCTAGTCCAATAGGACTAGTGTCCTTATGTCTTAGTCCGCTCAGGCTGCATAGTAGAACACCATGGACTGGGCAGCTTATAAACAATGGAAATCTACTTTTCTCAAGCTCACAGTTCTGGAGGCTGGGATGTCCCAGATGAAGGCATTGGCAGATTTGGTATCTGGTGAGAACCTACTTTCTGGTTCATAGATAGCTGTTTTCTTACTGTAACATCACATGGTGGAAAGGGCAAGGGAGTTCTCTGGGGCCTTTTTATAAGGGCGCTAATGCTATTCATAAAGGCTCCACCCTTATGACCTAATCATCCCCTGAAGGCCCCTTCTCCAAATATCAGCACAGTGGGGATTAGGATTCAGTATATGAATTGACACAAACGTTCAGCCTATGGCCCCTTATAAGAAGAGGAATAGATACAGGAGTGTGCATGCACAGGGCAAAGGCCATGTGAGGGCCCAGTGAGAAGGAAAGAGGCCTCAGGAGAAACCAACTCTGCTGGCCACTTGATCTTGGACTTCCAGCCTCCAGAACTGTGAGAAATAAATTTCTGCCGTTTAAACTACCCCATCTGTGGAATTTTATTATGGCAGCCCAAGTACACATACATTTGGTCTCTTCTTGCTTGCCATGATATACTTTGTACCAAGGACATTAACAGGTGCTCCCAAAAATATATATATACTCTGGTGCCACCACCTTCTCTGGAAAGTCTTTGTTCATCCTTCTCCCTCTCCCATGCCTGGCTTAAGTGTCCCTTCTGGGCTTTAGTTGCTACACTTTTCACTTGGTTCTTGAAGGATATGTTTTGAGGTCGAATTATTCCTTTCTAGAAGGTTACATCTTTGAATCTGAAGATTTCAAAGGGGCTGAGTCTTCTCCGGGACTCAGCCCAGATGGTATACATTGTTGGGAGTTTAGTAGATATTTGAGTGAATGCAAGTCTCCTGAGCCCCCACACACAAGCCCTGGATGGAGAGCAAGAAGGTTTGAGTTCTAAGTGTCATCTCTAAATTCCTGAGCAGCCTTGGATCCTGAAACCTCAAAAGTAATCATGGCCTTGCGTTTCTCCAGACATCAAAGCTTGGGGAAAAGTTATGCTCTAACAAGCATAGAGTAGAGGGTTGTTTTTACATCTAACACCTGTGCAGCTGAACTGCGCTCCTGAGTCTTAGTAATCTGCCTAGCTCTAGCCAGACTTCTTGGTATATCTCAAACGTACTAAGGTCATGCCTGTCTCAGGGCCTTTGTACTTGCTGTCTCTCCTGGGAACACACTTCCCCCAGGATTTTCCACAAATGGCCTCAATTTTCAGTGTTTATGCCAAAGTCAAGGAGGGGTAATGGTGATTGCAAGCAACTCAGTTTCAGGACACTGGAGATAAAAAGAGATGTCACCGTTCTATTAGTTCATTGAATCTTCTCAACAGTCCTGAAAGGTGTTTACTGTCATTATCCCCATTTTACAGATGAAGAAATTGAGGCCAAGAGAGGTTAAGTAACTTGCTAAAGGTCTCACAACTAGCAAGTAACAGGTCCAGGATAGGAATCCAGGCAATTTGGATCCAGTGTCAAGTTTCTTAAGCACAAAGCTCCCTGCTTCTCAACATACATTGCAGCTTAGTTAACACAGGGTCTGGCATGGGGCAGTGCTCAACAAGCAACAGTTATTTCTCCCCTCCCCTCATTTGACTCTCCTCATCAGTCCAACCCCCAGAACCAAGCCGATAACCCTTCCTAGTCCATCTTGCCAGAGCTCAGAGTCCCTCACTCCACCTTCTTATGCCTGCGTATGCTAGGTAGCTATATTTGAGGGCTCTAAAATCAGGTTCTCTGGCTTCCCATCTAGGCCCCACCTTTCACTAGCTCAGTAAACATAGGAATGTTACATCCCTCCCCGGTCTCAGTTTCCTCACCTGTAAAATGGCGTCGACGGTAACAGTCATTATGTTCTAGAATTACTATAGGGATTCAGTGGGATGATGCATGCAGAATGCTTTCCAGCTTACCCAGCTCATAAAAATGGCTCAATAAATTGTAACGTTTATGATTAGAGCCTCTCAGTGAGAAGCCCCCCAAAGTTCTGGGGCTGTGAAATACACTGCCCACAACCTTTAGAGCCAAAGTTGGGACCAGATGAATTCATTGTTTGTAGACAAGTTTGGCTGGTGTAAGCGGACTCCTTAACCTGATCCAAGTCAGGATCTACCAGACAGTTACTTCTTAGAGGCAACGTGGTTCAGAGGGGTAATCTCTTGGGTCTGATAGACCTGGGTCTGAATTCCAGCTCTGATTTCTCCTCAGGACCTCAGTTTCTTCATCTGTCAAATGGGAAGAGACTAGTGTTAAGATTAAGAATGTGACTTCAGATTCAGAAGGTTATGTGATATTCATTCTACTCCTTGCTTAGCCATAGACCAGCTATATGAGCTGATATGAGTGTCTTCAGCACTATGAGCTTTGGTTGTCTGCTCCAATGGGTGTTGTCACCATTCCTATTCCTGGGGTGGCTATGAGGATTTCCCAGGACCATGTGCGCCTACACTCTGCACCCTGTAGCTGTTGGGATGGGAGGCAGTATATACCAAGAGTTAGGAGTTTAGGCTCTGGAGTCAGACTGCAACAGGCCTAGTTCAAATTCCAGCTCTGACAATTACTCCTGGTGAGATCTTGGGAAAATCAATTTCTTCTCCCAACCTCAATTCATTTATCTGTGAAGTGAGAATAATAGCAGTAAATGTCCAATAGGGCTTGCTACAAGAATTCCATTAGATGTACATGTAAAGCACTTAAAACTGGCTTGGTTCAGTGTGGCAAAGATATTATGAGGACGATTTTTAAAATACCCTTTCCTAGAAGGCAAATGCATTTGCCCCAAAGTTTGAGGACTTGAAAATATGAACGGAGTGAACCTTCAGGATCAGATTCAAGTCCAAAACAAAAACAAACAAAAACCCCTCAATTGTGGATGAGGTAAACCAGGGCCACGTGATCACATCAGGACCCCCCCTCCCACACACACACACATCTACAAGATCAACCCTACTTAATCATAGTGTAGCTCGAATGCTAGACTCTCACTAGAACGAGGTCAGAGTCCCGGCAGTGACCATTCTCGCCGGGGGACGTGAGACAAGTGAGCCTCAGAGGTTAACCAGCGGAGTAATCAGCTCCCTCGCAGGATTATTTAGCAGGAGTCAATGAGATGACGCACACAACGCGGCACCCCGAAAGGGTTCGGTGAACGGGAGCTGTTGTTCCTATTGCTACAGCACCTGTCTTCTCCAGCTTTTTGAGGGGTTCTCCCACCGGCCTGCCACTCGCCTTAGTCGGTCTCCGTCCCGACTTTCGGCTGCAGCTACTGTCCCAGGCCCTCCTCAGGAGGGTCCCCCTGCGCCCGTCCTTCGTCCCCAGCTCCTCAGCTAGCTGCGGGGAGGTGGGCGCCAGACAACACTCCACCGAGCCCGGAGCCGAACTTGAAGCTCAGGGACAGAAGTCCAACTGCCGCCTGAAACCGTTGGACTGGGCTCCCGCCTCCTGGAAACGCTGATCAATCAAAAGAGAAGAAGCAAGCCCCTAGACCAATCAGAAGTGGAAGCGGTCGAGCAATGCCCGCCTCCTTAAAGAGCCCTAGCTTCTCATTGGATGTGCCCGAGGGCGAACCCAAAGCTAAGCCACTTAGAAGAGAGTGGGGCCAGCCAATCAGCAGTGCAACCGCAGCCCGGCTCGTGGGACTGGAGAGGCAGTATCAGCTCACAGACTGGCGCGGTGCGAGCTCGCCGCCTGTCAGCACCAAAGCCCTGCAAGGACAGAAAGCCAGCTGGCCGAGCTCTTAGCCCTGGCCAATTAATGGCGGGGCAGAGCAATGGGCCATTCTCTCTACGGTGTGGGGTGTGTGGTGGTGGTGGGGGGAGATGGCTAGTACGTGAAGTACGCAGTTAACCCTGTTCATCTGACAGGCGATGAGCATTCGAAGCGTGAGCATCTAGACCAATCACGGGTCAAGGCACTGCCCCCTCTTGTGCTTTCCCTGTCCCCGCATACTTCCGGGTGAGGCAGGGTGTGTTCTGCAACCAATCAGTGGTGGGCAGGGCAAGAGGCGGGAAAGGGAAGCTGCCCACAGGCACCCAAAGCCTGGCTGGCTCTTGAGGGCCTCCCAACCAATCACAGATACACACTTCATAGACTGTCAAGGGTTAAGAGAGAGGTGAAAGGGTTTGCAACGAGAGCTACTCAGGGTGGCAAGACAGAAGCAAGAAAGCGGTGGTATCCTGAGCCCTTGCGGAGGGAGCTTCCAAGGTTCTTGAGGCGAAGGAGGTTCCGGGCCCAGTCTTTTCACAGAGAGGGTGGGAGGAAGGGCAAATTCCACAACCACTCAGCAGGGGAGGGGGCGAGCTGGAGGGTAACATCTCAGCCTTAGACACCTGAAACCCAAGTCCGCGGACCAATCAGACTCCAAGGCCCTGCCACACCACAGAGCCAGCAGGGTGGGTGGGAGCTCCGCAGCCAATCGGGGTGGGCGCGAGGTGGGCGAGAGCAAGCGGAGCTGTCCTAGGTGTCTCCCAGAATGCTGAGCATGCTCAGCAGGATGCGGCCAGCGCTGCAGCCAATCAGCGTCCGCCTCGGAATGCAGGCGCGACAGGCAAGCTGTGCACGCGCCCGGGGCCTCGAGCTCCTGGGCTCGCGCCGCTCACCACTTTCTAACGGCCACTCGAGCTTGCGCTGCCCTCAGTGTATGTGAGACTGTGGGAAGAGGAACAGGGTCCGAGTCGGTGAGTGCCATGGTTTTTCTTACACTTCTTCAGGCTTGGGACTGGCCCAGGCCGAGCTGGGGTATGAGGGCTTGAGTGGTCGCCGTGAGGGTTGAGGGTTTTAGTCCCTGCGGACTCCCTTTGCTCTGGCGAGGCTGGCAGTGGGGCCTCCTGGGCACCTGTGGGCCCAGGCTGGTCAGAGGCCAGGCCAACATGCCCTGAGTTGGTCCATGGTCCCTGAGGCTAAGTTGGTTTGGAAGCGTGTTGTGGGGCAGTTGGAGGCCCTTGGAGCTCTGCCTGGCGTCATTTGGCCATGAGGTATGGCCTCTGAACTGTGAGAGGTTGTCTGAGGGCTCTGGACTGAGTCTGGATCTGGTGACTGGAAGGAGAGGCCTGTGGCCCTCCAGAGGTTATTGGGAGTCACTGGCCAAAAGATGAAACAAGTGTGTACTTGAGAGGTTTTCTGGGGTCTTAGGATCCAGCCTGGGCTGAGAGTGAGAGTTGCCAAGGTTGAAAGCCCAATGGGAAGTTGTCAACGGCCATTGCAGCCAGGCTGTGCTGAGAACATGTGGCTGCAAGGCTTTGGGGCAGTCGCTGGACTCGAGGTTGAGGTACAGATTTTCCAGTATTGGGTCCAGGTTAGACAACCTGGCCAGGAGGTTAGGCCCAGGGTCTTCTGGAGGTTCTTGAGGAGGGAGTTTCTGAATCTCAGAGGTTGTTTGCTCTCCATGAAATATTATTGCCATGTGACTCTAGAAAAAACCAGGATTGGGTCATGTTAGGGCCTTTTGGTCCACTCTTTCCTAAACCCTGATCATTCCCAGAAGATACCAGGCAGTAAGAATGGGACCAGATGCATAGGGAAGATAAGATGGATGGTGTATTGGAGCACTGGAAGAGGTGTGTAAGATATCCTGCTCCTTAGGAAATCACCCAGGTTCTCTTCACAGAAGATTTTTTATTCTTATGGGGCAGGGTGTTGATATCTAATTTCACTCAGCTGTTCAAGTTCTACATAGTATTAAAGCTTTCAGAATGCTCTCATGTACACCCAGTGTTCTTAAACCTTGGATGGGGATGCAAGGGAGTGGTCTATGAGTGGATTTCAAGGGGTTTTGAGCTCCTGAAAATCATAAGAAAAACTGTATGCATGTTGTTGCAGGGGGGCATGCAAAGCAGCCACAAGGATAAACAAGGAGTATTTAACCTGTCCAGGGACTGGCTTCAGTCTATGAATCCCTTGTCATTCACATGCACAATGGTATGAGTATCTATAATTTTCTGATGTAAAGAGTTGATTCCCCAGCTTACAATTTTAAAAAGGATGGCAATCCCCTTAAACTACGACCTTAAGAACCATTGGAATTAAGCAGGCTTCCGTATTATTTATGGGGCCTAGGCCAAACTAGAAATGAAGATTTCCCCTTTTCTTCCCACACCTGGTGTTGGTGCACATTTCAAGGCACATTAGTCTGCATGTCTGAGCTCAGTCTACCTGCCCCTCACACACAACCAGGGCCTGGGGTGTGTACATCAGTCACACAGTTCATCCTCCTGAGTATAGACCTGGGGATGAGGGCTGGGTAGGTCCGGTAAGTGGGCCATTTGGGTGAGGAAGTCAGAGTTCCAAGTTACCAGAGCACAGCCTAGAACTGGGGGACACATGTTCCAGGTGGGCCCTTCCTAGATGCCCTTAGGATCCTTGGCCCAAGGTGGGGGGGGACACAGGCAGAGGGGGTCAGAGTGGGTTTAACACAATATTGGCATTCAGTACTGGTCTTGAAAACAGCCCCCGTGAGCAAATTGAGGATCTCAGAAGAGTTAGCCCCATATTAGGGCTGAAGAAGAAGGCCACCCACAGAGAAGATGCAGTGGAACCTAAATTTTTTACTTCTAGTCTAGTTCTTTTTCCACTTGATCCACAAAAGACATGCTAAGATAGGATCTCTATGACCTAGATGCTATGATTATACTAGTTCTTGAGTTATATGAAACATAGATTTAAGGAAGAAAGAAACTAATTTACTGTCTCTTCTCTGGTATGTGTTGGATGTACTTAACTAGGAAGAGTAGGCATTTGATAGTTCGTGTAAGATTTGGATAATTGGTCTTTATCTGCATAAAATGCTGTGGGGGAATTTAACTACCTTAATTTGAAGAAAGAGATGTGTTCCTGGAAAAAGTGGAAAGTTCATATAATTTTTCTAAATTAAATCTTTTTTAATTTGGCTTTGGAATACTCACTATTTAAAATAAGTGAGATAAAGGGAGAACATTTTTCATAAAACAAATAGTCATGCCTCTAGTTGGCCTATTCTGATGGTTTAGTTTTATTTTTTTATTACTTATTTTTTTTTAAGATTTTATTTATTTATCTGACAGAGAGAGAGAGAGAGAGAGAAGGAACACAAGCAGGGGGAGTGGGAGAGGGAGAAGCAGGCTTCCTGCTGAGCAGGGAGCCCGATGCAGGGCTCGATCCCAGGACCCTGCTATCATGACCTGAGCCAAAGGCAGACACTTAACTAACTGAGCCACCCAGGCGCCCCAGTTTTAATTATTTTTAAAGAGAATCCATACTTGTATTGCTGTGTTGACATTTTTATATCAAGCTGGATTGTACCTGCAGGGGCATATGAAGGAGCTTACGGTCATGCCTATCAGTTAGAATTAAAAAATAGCAGATTTTAAACTTTATTTAGTAATATGAGTATTGGGAATGAGAGGCAAAAATCATACCTCTTTTTCCCACATACTTCCTTCCGGTTATGTCCTACCTAATCTCTCCCACCCACTCTACCCTGTCCCAGGATGCAGGTTTGTGTCCTCAGGACCAATGGTTTCCTGGGTACACCCCAGGAGACAGCTGCAGGGGATTCCTACAGAGTCATCCTGGGAAGTGGAAGGTGGACAAGGTTTTTGAGACTGTGATGGGAGACTTTTCAAGAATAGAGTTATCAGTTTCCCTACCCTTCCAAGTCAAAGTGCTATTTGCTTGTGCTTCTGCTGTCACTGCTCAATGCAAGATGGCTTGGGCTGTGTAGTCAAGAATGTACGGAGAGAGAAGGGCCTAGAGTATCACCAGCCTCAGGGCTGAGGTGTAGAGGACCCTGGAGATACCTCTAAGGAGGCAGTCTCTAAAAGGATATCCTCAGGTGGGGTAGACACCAAGTAGGAGGCAAAATGGGGTTTCCCATTCTTGGGGGGCTTTTGTTCTCTGAATGGGGAGTCCCCTTGCCCTTCTCCTCCCTATTAGGTTTCCTGAAAGCCTGCTGACACTCCCTGTCACTATACTTGGCTTATAGAGGACACTGCCCTTTGAGCATAGTCTCCAATATTTTTGATCATCAATGAGCAAATCATACCAGTGGGGGAGCTGAGTCACAGGCACATGAAGTAGGACTGGGAAGCAAGGCCACTGGGTGATGATGTAATCTTCCAGACCCCTGTGCCTTTTCTTCTACACTTGGGGTTTCTCTCTCATGATTTTCCCCACTTATTCCATATCTTCAGGGACTGTATTACTGTGTTGAAGAAAGAATGTTTTTCTCTGTATACATACATATCCGGGATTGGTGCTTTTATATGTCCAGGCCAAGTGCCTTTTATATGGGTGTCAAATAAGTCCCTGGGTGTGGTGGTATGAGGAGTTAGAAAGCTCAGAAATGGAAAATATTTAACGTTCAGAGTAGCACATGAATAAGGCCTGTCCATTTGCATTTTCCCTTTCACTCTGAGTCATCTTCCCCTCTCCCCACCCTATTATTGCCCCTCCACCAGCCCCACCCACTGGCACACCCTGCCTGATCTAGGAAGGGTTAACATCTGTCTATACTCAAGCTAGAACGAGAGGTAGAGGGGGAAGGCATGTTAAGTCTGGAGGGAGAAAGTAGGGGGCTGTGTGAACATATTGGGGTCCTGGAGCCAAAGGGAGAAATGGGAGTTTAGGGACATAAAGTTTTGGGTCTAGGAGGGGACCAGGATGTAAAGGACAAGCCTACGGTGAACCAGACTGTGTCAGGTCACCAGAGCAGCCTACCAATGCCTGATTTTTTTATCTTCCAGTTATTTATTGGGCATATATGATACACCAGGCACATATCATAAATGATTTCTCTACGCTTGTTAAATGAATGAAAAAATTGCCACAGGATGAGGGTTAATGGAATAATAAAAAACAGGAAAAGAAATGTAAGTCTTTCAGACCTCATCCTTTCCCCAGGTTAACGAGTGCTAACGTGTGAAAACAGGGGAAATCTCCTGAGAGTTCGACCCTTTTGACAGGAAGTGAAAGAAACCCCGGAGTTCTGATTTCGGGGAAATGTCATTTGTCATCAACCCAAGAAAAGGGAGTTTTCTCTTCGAAGACCACCGCAGGCCCTTTCTGGGGTTGCCCCCTTCAGAGCTTGATGGGAGAATCTGAGTCACTTGTACATTCAGTCCCCAGTGGTGGCCCAGATGACAGGGGTCATTTCCACAGAGCAGTTAAGGCTTCCTAGTACTAAGGCAGGGAGAGGAAGGACAAGGCATGCTTTTGGCCCTCCTTCACTCTCTCCTCTGAATCCAGATGTGTCAGTCCTTTTTACTTCTGAGGTAGTAGAAACTGCTTCCAGCTTCTAGAGCTCTGACACTTCTCAGAAGAACTAATCCTATTTGAATGATGCTATGTACTGACAAACCACTTTCACATTCATCATGTCGTTTCATCTTCACCCTCACCTCCAAATGAGGTAAGCAAAGGTTATCCCTATTTCATGGATGAGGTAACTGAGGCTCAGAGAGGTGACTTGCCCAATGTGACTCAACTAGTAAATGGCAGAGATGAGACTCAAATGCAGGTCTGATTATTCCAAGGTTCTTGTTGCGAGATGAACTTTTTTTATTTAAGATTTTTATATATTTATTTGAGAGAGAGCAGAGAGAGTGCATGAGAGAGCGCATGGCGGGGGGGTGGGGGTGGGCAGAGAGGAAAATGCAGACTCCCGGCTGAGCACGGAGCCTGATGCATCAGAGGGCTCAATCCCAGGACCCCGAGATCACGACCTGAGCTGAAGGCAGATGCATAACTAACTGAGCCACCCAGGCGCTCCTTGATTTTTATTTTATTCATTTAAAGTAATCTCTACACCCAGCATGGGGCTCAAACCTACAAGCCCAAGATCAAGAGTTGCATGCTCTACAAACAGAGCCAGCCAGGTACCCCCTCACATGAATTTCTTTGACTCTAGAAGTTCACAAATGAAATGAGACAGGAAGGGAGGCAGAATGTCTTGAATCTGGAAGTAGAGGAGGTGGTCTCTCCTAGAGGGATGAAGCAGAGCCAGGGGTATAAAACCACACCCCCTTGGGGGACTGTGACAGACTGATACTTGGGACACCCAATGGAAGACTGTGAGGTCAGGGGCGGGGCTAGCTCCAGGGGGGCCCCAGGAGCCCCAACAGCAGTTCAGAGCATGCGGTGTCCAGGAGGAAGCTACAACCGGTGAGTGGTTGCTTCTCCCCAGCTGAGACTTTCCTCCCATTACACCCCTTTTTCTGTCCACTTCCTACCAACCTGTAGCCTTCTCCCTGAGGGGTCCAAGTAGTAATCCTCCCCACAAGGGTCCTTACTCATGGTGAGCCCACACTGAGGAATATGCCTACTGGGCACTGAGACACTTAGGTGTGTCTCTTAGTATCTGGGTTCCCAGTTTTCTTCTTAAAAGTCAGTGTGGTAGTTTTCATGTGTGATAAATTTCTGCCTTGTTGGCTCTTTCTATTCTTTGCTTTTGGCTTATGAAAAACAAAATTAAACCATCTCCTTATCCTAATCTGGAAAGAAAATAGCCTCCCCTTATACAGTTCCCATTTTCCTTTCTCCCACTTCCTCAGGAGTCAAAACTTTCTTCAAAATCTCTGTCCATCCTTGATGGGAACCTTCTCTTCTGTGGCTTCTGCACCTGCTCTCTTAACCCACTAGATGGGATTCTCTTCCAGGTCCTTCTCTGAGGACATGTTCTAGAAGTTTCAGCCATAGGGAAATAATCGATTGATGTCTTAGGGCATGCCCTCCTGCAGCTATGACCTCAGTCTTACTGTCCTTTCTGCCTCTCAAGACTACTCAGCAAAATGTGATGGGGTGGGGATGGGGGTGGGGGTGGAACTAGCTTTCAAAACTCTCCCATGAAGCTGTGTCTTGCTCCATCCCTAACTGCCAGGGCTGACTGGGTCTTATGGTGATCTCTTTGTCTGGAAAGAAGAAAGCCTGGCCTGCTCCAAGGTCTTTCCCTGCAGAAGGGCTTAAAGTAGCAGAAGTATCAGCGTCTGCTCTCTTTTAAGTCAGAGACTGCCAATTGGCAGGACCCATCTATACTAGCCTTAAACCCACTATTTGATATGGTTGTTAATGGCCTGGTTCTTATTCTTTAAGTCCTGGGTATGGTCTAATTTCCATTCTCCCGCCACCCCCACCGTCACCCCTACCCCCTGGTCCATTATGATTCTAGATAAGCTCGGGTCCTCTCTTGGGTTAGTTTATTTGTTCCATTCAGGGCACAGAGAGCTCTGAACCAGCAACTCACTCTTTCTCCCCTCACCTCCACAGGCTTGAGAATACGCTGTTCCTCCCTCCCCTTTCCACCATGGACCCCACACTGTGGCCTTTCTTTCAGGTCCTCTGAGATTGGTACCCAGGCAAGGCACAATGCCCCTGTTCCCGACGACAAGACTGCCTAGCCCCTATGGCTCTGATCGGCTGGTACGGCTAGCAGCCAGGCTCCGGCCAGCACTATGTGATACCTTGATCACTGTGGAAAGCCAAGAATTCCCTGCCCACAGCCTGGTCCTGGCAGGTGTGAGCCAGCAGCTGGGCCGCAGGGGCCGCTGGGCTCTGGTGAAAGGCATCAGCCCTTCTACCTTTGCCCAGCTTCTGTACTTTGTTTATGGAGAGAGTGTAGAACTGCAGCCTGGGGAACTGGGACCCCTTGAGGAAGCGGCCAGAACCTTGGGGGTGCAGTCCCTGGAAGAGGCATGCAGGAGGGCTCGACGGGACAGGGCTAGAGAACTGGGTCCAGGGCTCAAGGAACATCAGGAGGAGCCAGAGAACCCCACAAGGGATTCTGAGAGAGGACTGGAGGGACATGGAGAGCAGAGACCAGAGAAATTTATTAGAGCTGGGTGGAGAGAACGAGAGATACTGCACGAGCAAAGGCCATCAAGAGAGACCCCTGAGATAGCAGAGGCAATGCAGGAGGGTGCGGGGGAGCAGATGAGATCAAAGGAAAAACTCAAGCAATCCCCTATTGGCCATGGGGGAACAGATGGGAAGCAAGAAGTGATTATGTGGGTGACGGAGAGTCCAAGGGGCTCTGAGGAAAGTCTGCGGGAGTTCTCTGGCCACCATCCCCCACCAGGTTCCCTCCAAACAAGCGTCATTCCTAGGCCCTGGTCGGCTGAGGCCCCTTGGTTGGGGGAGAGCCAGCCTGCCCTGTGGAGCATCCTGCTGTTGCCACCCAGATATGGCACTCCCTTCTCCCATAGCACCCCCATCACTGGAGCCTGGCAGGAGGTCTGGCCTCGGGACCAGAGGTGAGTGAAGAGCCTAACGGAAGACCTCCCTGGCTGGGAGGGAGTGGCTCAGGAGAGGCAGCAGTGATGGGTAGAAGGGCACCACATCTCTTATCTCTACTGTATATTTCCGGAGCTGATGATAGGACAAGAAGCTTCCATCACAGGGGAATTCAAAGCCCAGCCCCTGAGGACTCATGACACCTCCCCCTCCTGGAAGGGTCTGGCCAGGATCCCGGGTTTTGCCAAGGCTAACTCTTCCCCACCCCATCCCCAGGATCCCACTGTCCCTGAACCCTGAGAAAGGTCTCTGGAACCAGAACCAGTTGGCCAACTCCAGTCCTGCCCCAGGTAAGCCCCTCAGTGCCCTGTACAAATGCTATAACATGGTCTCTCCTTCCTTAGGCTGGGACTCCAGGAGTCCAGCCTGAGTAGGGCACCTCCTTCACTCTGCTCCTTCCAGGTTTCCTCCCCCAGAGCCCCACAAAGTTCATCCCTGGGGAGATGGAAGAGTCTGATCAGAGGCACACAGGTGAGTAGGGTGAGGGCACGTTTGCCTCAGCCCCACTGTAGCTCCCAGTGTCTTGTCTGGGAGTACCAGTGGTCCAGCTCTGGGATTCCCAGCCCTGCCCTCCTTTGCCTTCTCTATCCCCACAGGTGCACTTGCAACCTGTGTGGGTCATGTGAGTACAGCAGGCCCATCCCACCAACAACCTCCCCCACCCCCACCTGCCCGGTCTCGGCCCTATTCTTGTTCTGTCTGTGGGAAAAGGTTCTCACTCAAGCATCAGATGGAGACTCACTACCGAGTCCACACAGGTATGGGCTCCCCGCCCAGTGCAAATTATCTGCTCCCTTCCAAACTCCGGTCTGTCTGGTCCTGAGTCCTTCTCTGTGTGCTTGGCTCCCACACAATTCCCTTGCCCAGTCGCCCAGATCAACCCCTACGCCAGCCTTCACCCCCTTCTTTCCTTTACCGGCCTCCCCCTCCACCTGCCCTAGGAGAGAAGCCCTTCTCCTGTAGCCTCTGCCCCCAGCGCTCCCGGGACTTCTCAGCCATGACCAAGCACCTGCGGACGCATGGGGCCGCACCCTACCGCTGCCCTCTGTGCCGGGCCGGCTGCCCCAGCCTGGCCTCCATGCAGGCGCACATGCGCGGCCACTCGCCGAGCCAGCTCCCACCTGGATGGACCATTCGCTCCACCTTCCTCTACTCCTCCTCTTCGAGGCCGTCCCGGGCCTCGACCTCTCCCTGTGGGTCCCCTTCCTCCACCACCTGACGGTGTTGGTAGCTTCTTTGGCTTCAGCCAACAATACAATTAAAGAATGAAAGACGGGCCGCCGGGGCTGCTAGGTTTCTGACCCAGCACCGCAGCTACTGGCAGCCTAGCAAATTCGGCTCCAAGAAGCACCGCAGGAAAGGCGCTGAAAGCCTTCTCCCAGATGACCGCGGGCCCCAGAAGTCTGGGCCAGCGAGCCCCTGTGGGGTGTGGGCAGTGAAGTTTGCACGAGTTAAAATTAATTGTGCCGGGGCTGGCGATTCCATCAAAATAAACAGTTTCCTGTGCCCTCTCAGGACCAGAAGCCGAGTCCAGACTTTAGTCTGTGAGCAGGGGAGAGGGAAGGGGCAGCCTTGCCCCTTGTCCTGTGGCGGCCCCTCGTGGCTGTGCATCCACTGTTCAGTGCGGGGGCCACCTCCATCTCCCGGGTCTCCCTGTTCTTCCCCAGAGGTAGGGGCCCGCGAGGGCCGCGAAGTCCAGGCTGGCTTAGCAGCAAGCCCTGTTGGCGGAGGCTGTGAGAAATCAAGTTATTCGCCCCTTCCACAGCAAGCAACGGTGCGCAGAATCTGAGTCTGGGACCCCCAGCCCGGGGCTCGAGGAACGCGTGCTCCACCCTCCTCCTCTCCTTGAGCTTTCAGACACCCTCCTCCTCTCCTTGAGCAGAAGGACCGCAAAGCTGCGGCCTCTCGAGCATCCTCCCTCCATGCTGTGCAGAACGGCAGCCGGGTGGCGCCTCCAACTGAGACTAATCCTTTGCGGCGGCCCCTTTCCCACTCCACGCCTCCTGCAATCGCGAACTTCATTTCCCAGTGTCTCTAGGATTCCCAGGGTCCGTAGTCCATGCACCCTGGGAGTGGTAGTTCATGCGTGCCCTGGTCTCGCCAAGAACAATGGGAGGAGTTGGGGGCGAGAACCACACCTCCCGGCAGCCCCGGAGATGGTTTTCCTGGGTCCGGTTAGGACCCTATAGTCCCAGCTCTCGCGGCCCCAGCTCTCGCGACCCCAGCTCCCGGCGGAAGGAGCGAGGCGCCCGAACTACATTTCCCGAAGGTCCCTGCGCATCACCCCTCTTTGGCCGCAACACGGGGTCTATGCTCTTCAGGCGCGGTCTAAGGGTGACTGCCGACTGACCTCGGACTCCCGCTCCCGTGGTGCCCCGCGCGTGGCCGGCCCAGCCCCCGGCTCCCGCTAGCCCCGCTGCGGCGCTGGTTGCTGTCGTGAGCCGCAGCCGCCCCGCCCCACCTCTCCCTCCCCTCCCCCCCGGCCCTGCGCACGGGCCGCCCCTCCCCCCGCCTCCCCGGCCCCTCTCACGGTGCCAAGATGGCGGCGGCGGCGGGCGGCGGCAGTTGCCCCGGGCCTGGCTCCGCGCGGGGCCGCTTCCCAGGCCGGCCGCGGGGCTCCGGCGGGGGCGGGGGCCGCGGCGGACGGGGCAGCGGGGCCGAGAGAGTGCGGGTAGCTCTGCGGCGCGGCGGCAGCGCGGCGGGGCCGGGCGGAGCCGAGCCCGGGGAGGACACGGCCCTGCTCCGTTTGCTGGGGCTCCGCCGGGGCCTGCGCCGGCTCCGCCGCCTGTGGGCCGGCCCGCGCATTCAGCGGGGTCGGGGCAGGGGCAGGGGCCGGGGCTGGGGCCTGAGCCGAGGCTGCGTGCCCGAGGAGGAGAGCAGTGACGAGGAATCCGACGATGAGGTGAGGCAGTCGGAGGCGTCCCCAACGCCGGGCGGGGCGGAGGCCGGGGGCTTCCAAGGGTCTGGGTGGCCCTGAGGGGTGGAGTGGAGAAGCGAGGTTCTCAGGGCCCCTGCGGAGGGAAGGGGCCCTGGAAATAGGCCTGGGGGGAGATAGGCTGCACGGAGCTGTCCGTGAAAAAGGCCTCTGAAAGTATATAGAGCAGCCTGGGCTGCATCTGGGTACTTGGGCCTGAGGCACGTCCTGCAGAAGTGTCCCAGGCTGATGATTTTGGTAGTTGGCAAAGCTGTTGCAGTAGAGGTTTGAGCGAGAAGGCTATGGGTCCTGCATGCCCAACCAGTGGTGGTTGACAGCAGCAGCGTGGCTTTAGTGGACCCAGGCTAGGGCTCTCTGGGCACTTATCTGTAGGCTGCTCCACCTGGCCTCATAATCTCTGACACATCACTGGTTTCACCAGTACCCCGATTCCTCTTACTTAAAGTGGAGAGATGGTAGCATGAAGGAGGGCTTCCTCTTGGGAGCACAGGTTGAAGAAAATGGAATAAAGGCTGAGACTGGGAACTCTAGCAGGTCTGACTTCAGCTCAGGATTTATCCCCAGCCTCTCAGAAAAGTCAGGAGGGTGTGGGTTGTATTATTTAGGACAGTTTGTAGTCACCTGAGGGCTCAGAGTAGAGCTTATTACGGTAAACCATTTGAAACACCCCCCCCCCCCGGACTTGAGTGCCCCTATTCCCATCTTCATTCAGGAGGAAACTGTATCCTGAGAGTGTGTGAACAGTAGCCCCACCTTTTTCTGAATTGGAGGATGAGGGAGTCTGAGGGTAGTGTCTACTGCCTGGCCTAAGAAGATCCAGTTCTGTTCCCTTCTGGGCCAGCGAACCACTGATGGCTGTGCTGGTGTAGTCCGGTACAGGGGATGGGGGTTCAAAATACCCTGTGCCTCCATCTCTAGGATGAGAGGGAGAGACTCTTTTCTACTCTTCTTAGCTTCCAGTCGTAAGTTTTTCTCTAAAATAGGTAGGGGTATGTTAAGGGGGAAACGGGGGGGATATACCTCCATACCTGAGTCTCAGGTGGAACAAGGGCTTTGGTACTGACTGCTGTTTCTCCCCTCCACCCCTGGTCCCCTAAATCAGGAGTTTCAGGGTTTTCATTCAGAGGAAGATGTGGCCCCCAGTTCCCTGCGCTCTGCGCTCCGATCCCAGCGAGGTGAGTGACGGGGAAACTCTACCTCTATAGCTTTACAGGAATGTTATTCTTGCTCTTCATGTCAGCTCTTCCCTGTTTAAGTAGAGTCTCCATCAGTTACGTAGCGTGTTCTGTGTTCAAAGCTCAAGCTAGCCTGGGCTGTGGGGGAAACAGACTCGCCCTCCTGGAGTGCCTTCTTCAGTCTGCGGGGCTAGTTTGACCCATCTCCCCACACCTATTCTCCTTTTAGGTCGAGCCCCCCGAGGTCGGGGCCGCAAGCATAAGATGACCCCCATTCCGCCTCCTCGCCTAGCAGATGTCGCTCCTACCCCCCCAAAGACTCCTGCCCGGAAACGGGGTGAGGAGGGCACAGAACGGATGGTGCAGGCACTGACTGAGCTTCTCCGGCGGGCCCAGGCACCCCCAGCCCCACGGAGCCGGGCATGTGAGCCCTCCACTCCACGTCGGTCTCGGGGACGGCCCCCAGGACGGCCAGCAGGCCCCTGCAGGAAGAAGCAACAAGCAGTAGTGGTGGCAGAAGCAGCTGTGACAATCCCCAAACCTGAGCCCCCACCTCCTGTGGTTCCCGTAAAACATCGAACTGGCAGCTGGAAGTGCAAGGAGGGGCCTGGCCCAGGACCTGGGACCCCCAAGCGTGGAGGACAGTCCGGGCGAGGAGGCCGTGGAGGTAGAGGCCGAGGCCGAGGCGGGCTCCCTCTTGTGATCAAGTTTGTTTCAAAGGCCAAAAAAGTGAAGATGGGACAGTTGTCCTTGGGACTTGAATCAGGTCAGGGTCAAGATCAACATGAGGAAAGCTGGCAGGGTGCCCCCCAAGGAAGAGTTGGATCTGGACAGGGAGAGGGCCCCTGCTGGAGAAAGGAGCAAAAGCTGGAGGAGGAGGGAGAGAAGGAGACAGAAAAAGAGAAGGACAAGGAAGAGCGAGAAGAGGAGGTAGAGAGAGCTGGACCTGAAGAAGGGATGACGCTAGCAGAGGAAAAGGAAGAGGCAAAGCTGCCATCCCCACCCTCAACTCCGCCAGCCCCTGCAGCCCCTCCACCCCCTCCACCTCCTCCACCATCTCCACCTCCTCCACCCCTCCCACCCCCCTCCACTTCTCCTTCATCCCCACTTTGCCCTCCACCACCCCCAGTGTCCCCTCTGCCCCCACCATCACCTCCACCGCCTCCTGCCCCAGAGGAGCAGGAAGAATCCCCTCCTCCTGTGGTCCCAGCTACATGCTCCAGAAAGAGGGGCCGGCCTCCTCTGACTCCCAGCCAGCGGGCAGAGCGAGAAGCTGCTCGGGCAGTGCCGGAGGGTACCTCTCCTCCCACTCCAACCCCCAGCACCATCACAGGAGGCCCTCTGGAAGACAGCCCCACTGTGGCCCCCAAAAGTACCACCTTCCTGAAGAATATCCGGCAGTTTATTATGCCTGTGGTGAGTGCCCGCTCCTCCCGAGTCATCAAGACACCCCGGCGATTTATGGATGAAGACCCCCCCAAACCCTTAAAGGTAGAAGTCTCACCTACTCTTCGGCCTCCTGTTGCCACCTCCCCACTCGCCCCCCCAGAACCAGCACCAGCTCCCTCTCCACCGCGTGCCCCAACTCCCCCGTCTACCCCGGTCCCACTCCCTGAGAAGAGACGGTCCATTCTAAGGGAACCCACATTTCGCTGGACCTCGCTGACCCGGGAACTGCCCCCTCCTCCTCCTGCCCCCCCACCGGCCCCGCCCCCACCTCCTGCCCCTGTCACTCCATCCCGGAGGCCCCTGCTCCTTCGGGCACCCCAGTTTACCCCAAGCGAAGCCCACCTGAAGATCTACGAATCGGTGCTTACTACTCCTCTTGGGGCCCCTGAAGCCCCTGAGCCAGAGCCTCCTCCTGCTGATGACTCTCCAGCTGAGCCTGAGCCACGGGCAGTGGGCCGCACCAACCACCTCAGCCTGCCTCGATTTGCCCCCGTGGTCGCCACTCCTGTTAAGGCCGAGGTGCCCGTTCCTGGGGCTCCAGCTCTGAGCAACGGGCAGCAGTGTCAGGCTCAGCTGCAGCAGCCCCTGCAGGCCTTGCCAGCCCAGCTGCTGCTCCAGGCGTTAGCTCAGCCACCGCAGCTGCAGCCGCACTTGCACCTGCAGCCGCCGTCACCACTGGACAAGGCCCGTACCGCAGCCTCAGGCTCCTTACCGCTGTCTGGTGTGGAGGAGAAAATGTTCAGCCTCCTCAAGAGAGCCAAGGTGCAGCTGTTCAAGATCGATCAGCAGCAGCAGCAGCAGAAGGTGGCGTCTTTGATGCCGGTGAGCATGGCACCTGGGCTAGGTTTCTGCACCCAGCCATCCAGCCCCAGTTCTCTCCATTCTCAATTTTCATTCACCCTCTGCCTCCTCAGACCCCCTCCAGTATTGCAGGGAACGCTCAGAGCCAGTCCTTCCATTTCTCAGCTGCCTGTGTTCCTTCCCTGGCCCTGGCCCTCCGCCATGCTAGTCCCCCGGCCCTATCTTTCTTCACTTTCCAGCCTCTGACCCTGTTTATTCCCCCACCAGCCAAGCCCTGGAGGGCAGATGGAGGAAGTCGTGGGGACTGTCAAGCAGATCTCAGATAGAGGTTCTGTCAGGTCTGAAGATGAATCGATGGAAACTAAGAGAGAGAGACCGTCGGTATGGAGTGGGAGCGGGGCCCTCTGAAGAAGGCTGGTTGCAGGAGCGCAAGGGGCAACTTCCCACATGTATTCCTGGTTTCTCCTCCCCTAGGGCCCCGAGTCCCCTGTGCAAGGCCCCCGTATCAAACATGTCTGTCGTCATGCTGCTGTGGCCCTAGGTCAGGCCCGGGCCATGGTGCCCGAAGACGTCCCCCGCCTCAGTGCTCTCCCTCTCCGGGATCGGCAGGACCTCGCCACGGAGGGTAGGGGCGGGTGTGTTGTGGGAAGATTTTGACAGCTGTGTCAAGGTCGGGGGCGAGCACATGCACCGAGAGCCTAGAAGAGCGGGAGCTGAGTTGGATGCTTGGGGCAGGTGGCAGCTGGGTTGGGGTGCTAGGCCTTAGAGCAGATTTGGGGGCACTTGGGGCCTGAACACCACGGGAAAGTGGGGGCCAGAAGGCCAATTGAATGAGATCTAGGAACAGGGAACTGAGGTAAAAGGCCTAATGGCCTTGTGGCTCCATCCCTTCCTCTCCATTGCACTAGATACATCATCGGCATCTGAGACTGAGAGTGTCCCGTCACGGTCTCGGCGGGGAAAAGTGGAGTCAGCAGGGCCTGGGGGAGACTCAGAGCCTGCAGGGTCTGGAGGGACCCTGGCCCATACACCTCGGCGCTCACTGCCCTCCCATCATGGCAAGAAGATGCGGATGGCACGGTGTGGACACTGTCGGGGCTGCCTGCGTGTGCAGGACTGTGGGTCCTGTGTCAACTGCCTGGACAAGCCCAAGTTTGGGGGCCCCAACACCAAGAAGCAGTGCTGTGTGTGAGTAGCCAGGGTGCAGCCTCTGTTCCCACCCATGGTTGTCAAGTCACCCAGGCCTCCTGCCCCGCCAGAGCAGTGGGATTGGCATCCTTGTGGAGAGCTTCCTCTCTTCCCCCAGACCACCAGTCCCCTACCCTGGTGACGTGCTGCTCCCCTCCCCAGATACCGGAAATGCGACAAGATAGAGGCTCGGAAGATGGAACGGCTGGCTAAAAAAGGTAACGAAGTTTGAGGAGTATTTCTTTACACAACCTTGTTTAGATCCATGGTGTGGAAGAAACTGTTTTCTTTGCTCTCTTTCCCTTATCTTTGCAGCCTATTACCTTTGTTATCTTTCCATCCTGTGCTTTTGTGTCTCTCCTGTATTCGTTCTTTTCTACCCCACTTCTTTTTGGCTTTTCTGCATCCCAATGTCCCATGTCCCTGGCTGAGCTCAGATCCTACTAAGTCCCCTGTTCCCACAGGCCGGACGATAGTGAAGACGCTGTTGCCCTGGGATTCCGATGAATCTCCTGAGGCCTCCCCTGGTCCTCCAGGCCCACGCCGGGGGGCGGGAGCTGGGGGGCCCCGGGAGGAGGTGGTGGCCCCCCCAGGGCCCGAGGAGCAGGACTCCCTCCTACTGCAGCGCAAGTCAGCCCGGCGCTGCGTCAAACAGCGACCCTCCTATGATATCTTCGAGGACTCGGATGACTCAGAGCCCGGGGGTCCCCCTGCTCCCCGGCGTCGGACCCCCCGAGAGAATGGTGCGAATTGATTGTTGTTTCCCCTTTCAGTTCTGTGTCTTGTGTAGGAGGGGGCTGGGGTTTCTAGACCAGGGGCCGTATTTGTGTGATAGAGAAAGTAGCTGAGTGCAGAGAAGGAGGTAGTTTGGGGTGGACAGAGAAAATGGGTGCATTCGAGCCAGGTCTAAAAGTCATCCTATTGGTTAGTTAAAGGCGGCCAGGGGCATCCAGGTAACGGGGTGTGGAGGAAAGGGAATGGGGCAGGGAAGGAGTGGGACCCTCACCACTTACGTGTGCTGCCTAGAGCTGCCAGTGCCAGAACCCGAGGAGCAGAGCCGGCCCCGCAAACCCACCCTGCAGCCTGTGTTGCAGCTCAAGGCCCGAAGGCGCCTGGACAAGGTCAGCACGGCCCCACACCAAGAACCCTGAGTCCTGAGGAAGGCATGGCTTCCGCCCTTCAGGAGCTTGCTAGCAAGTCAGGGTAACGGGCTCACCTGAGTGCCGTGTTGTGTCCACACCAGAGGACAGGCCCTGAGGGGTAAGGCAGGTCTGTCCTTCTGGAAAGCAAAGTAGGATCTGGGCAAAAGACAGGGTTGGGCAGGCTGGGGAAGAGGACAGTGTGGAGAGAAGTCTGCAGAGGGTGAGGCTGGCAGCCTTCTGACCACCGCCATCCTCCCTAGGATGCTTTGGCCCCTGGCCCCTTTGCTTCTTTTCCCAATGGCTGGACTGGAAAACAGAAGTCCCCTGATGGAGTGCACCGGGTCCGTGTGGATTTTAAGGTATGGCATTGAGGGAGAGGGTCTCGAGGATGGTGTTTGAAAGAAACCTGGGGGTTGTAGTTGAAAAACTGGGCTTTAAAGATGGCTTTGGCTGCTCTCTGATCCCGTGTCCTCTCTTTCCTCAGGAGGATTGCGACCTGGAGAACGTGTGGCTGATGGGTGGCCTCAGCGTGCTCACCTCTGTGCCAGGGGGGCCGCCGATGGTGTGCTTGCTGTGTGCCAGCAAAGGCCTGCATGAGGTTGGATCCCCGCCTTTTTCCACAGCCCCCCAGGTCTCCATTGGCCCTTACTGCCTGATTGCTTGGGCCCTCTCAGCAGGGTCTCATCCCTTGGCCTCTTGGCCTCACACTGTGCCCATTGTTCACTCTCCCCACCTCCAGCTGGTGTTCTGCCAAGTCTGCTGTGACCCTTTCCATCCATTCTGTCTGGAGGAGGCCGAGCGGCCCCTGCCCCAACATCATGACACCTGGTGCTGCCGCCGCTGCAAATTTTGCCATGTCTGTGGGCGCAAAGGCCGGGGATCCAAGGTTTGGGCACAAGAGCCATGAGGGTGGTTGGAGGCATGGAGGAGAGGGGTATTCTTGTGCCAATAGGTTTTGCCATTGCTGTTTTTCTCCCAACTTCCAACAGCACCTCCTGGAGTGTGAACGCTGCCGCCATGCTTATCACCCAGCCTGCCTGGGGCCCAGCTACCCAACCCGGGCCACACGCAAACGGCGCCACTGGGTGAGAGATGAGGCCCACACCCCTTGCATTGGAGTTCTAATTAAAGCCGCTACCACCCCCAGACTGGAAGGTTGGAGGTCCTTGTGAGAGTTTATCTGATAAATAGCATTTTCACTTACAAAATTTCACATAGACAAGACTTATGTGCAGAATTTGTACAGAATGATTGCAAAATGCAGAAGGGTTCATGCATTCCATGGTCCTGGGCTCAGAATCCCCTGCCCTTGCCTGACCTCCTTTCCTCCTTATCTCCTTCTGTCGGTCTCCCCTACTTTGGTCTTGTCCCTCTCTCCTCCTCACTTGTACACCTTTTCTTCTCTTACCTGTCCTTCCTCATTTGTCTCTTGCTTACCATCCACTCCTCTTTGCCCATCTCCTCCCACTGTACCCCCCACACTGCTCCAGCCTGCTCCCCCTAACTTCACCCGGCCCCCCCCCCAGATCTGCTCAGCCTGCGTGCGCTGTAAGAGCTGTGGGGCGACTCCAGGCAAGAATTGGGACGTCGAGTGGTCCGGAGATTACAGCCTCTGCCCCAGGTGCACCCAGCTCTATGAGAAAGGTGGGGACCTGTCAGGAAACCTGGGCCCTGAGGGACACCGGGCAGTGGGCCAGGCTCCTAGACAGGCAAGACAGATATAGTTTTGTAGTGGCTTTGTATCCTCTTGTAGCCCCAGAACCTTTCCTTCTGTCAGGGTAGTCTCCCACAGAAGCCTATATAGTACCTCAGGTAGAGGGACACAGTTCCTCTCAGGGCAGTGGGAGTCGGCCTGGCCCCCATCGAGGTAGTGGTCCCTTACCTGCCTCTTGGAACCTTGAGTCTCCACTGATCACTTTGAAAACCTGGGCTTTCCCCATTTGTTCAGGTGGCAAGTTCGCAAGGTTCTTTGTGAGGTGCTGGGGCTGTAGGGCTAGAAGAGGCCATATTCTCAGCCAGCGTTTTGAGGGTGGTAGGGACCCAAGATGGGGCATAGCAGAGGCAGCCCTCACAGCAGCCAAGGGGCAGGTCGTGGCCGCAGCCCCTGACTTCCCCATTTCCTCCCTCTTCTGCAGGAAACTTCTGCCCCATCTGCACGCGCTGCTACGAAGACAACGACTACGAGAGCAAGATGATGCAGTGCGCACAGTGTGACCACTGGGTGCACGCCAAGTGCGAGGGGCTCTCAGGTGAGCAGGCAGAGCGCGCCCAGGCTGCCACCTCTGCCCCGGGGTGGGGGGTGGGGGTGCCTGTCCTACCCCCAGCACAGGCCGTCTTGGGACAGGTATCATAAATGTATGTCCTTGGCAACTCCTCTGGGCTGCTGAGAGCCCTCACGTTCTCCCGAACCATTCTGTCCTGTCCCTCCCTGGCTGTTTTAGATGAAGACTATGAGATCCTTTCTGGGCTGCCAGACTCAGTGCTGTACACCTGCGGACCATGTGCAGGGGCCACGCACCCCCGCTGGCGAGAGGCCCTGAGTGGGGCCCTGCAGGGGGGCCTGCGCCAGGTGCTCCAGGGCCTGCTGAGCTCCAAGGTGGCAGGCCCACTGCTGCTGTGCACTCAGGTCTGGGGGGGCGGGGCGGTGCTTGGGAGGTAGGATGGGGTGGGGCCAGGCCCAGCACCAGCCCTGCTGACTTTTTCTCTCTACAGTGTGGGCAGGCTGGAAAGCAGCTGCACCCAGGCCCTTGCGATCTGCAAGCCGTGAGTCGGCGCTTCGAGGAAGGCCACTACAAGTCTGTGGTGAGTGGGACACTGAGAGGAATAGGTGGGCTCCAGGAGGAGGGTGTTGTGGGTGGGGTGGGGGCTCTGATCCTGACAAGCCCCCTTACAGCACAGCTTTATGGAGGACATGGTGGGCATCCTGATGAAGCACTCAGAAGAAGGAGAGACCCCAGAGCGCCGGGCTGGAGGCCAGATGAAGGGGCTCCTACTGAAGGTGGGAACTTTGGGGGATGTCTATAGAGTGGCTTGCGTGGTAGTGGGGAGGAGAGTGTGGGTCCTTCAGACGCTGCCCCTACCAACTTTCCTGGGGAAGCCAGTTCTTCTCATTCTGTTACCCCACTCCCCAGCTGCTAGAGTCTGCGTTCGGCTGGTTCGACGCCCACGACCCCAAGTACTGGCGACGGAGTACCCGGCTGCCAAAGTGAGCGAGGCTGGGTAACAGGAGGGGAACCAGGGAATAAGGGCAAAAGCAAGGGCACCTGGGAATCCAGGGTCTGGATCCTGGGCTGAGAATAGACAAGAAACAGAGTTAAGGTTTGGAGGGTGGTGGAACCAGGATGAGCATCCGCAGGGGTTCTAGGCCAGCAAAGACTCCGATTGTGCAGTTAGCTCACTTTGTTTCTACTTTGTGCAAGATAGTATTGGGGAACAGCAGTGAGTAAGCCATGTTTGGGGAGTTGAGCAGGCACATTAGTGCCTGATGATCCAGATGGTCAGGGTGGTTATGGGAACGTCGAGGGAGCTGTAGGAGCCCAGAGAAGGTGCTTAGGGCTAAGGCTTCTTGGAAGAGATGACATCCGAGCCGAGATGTGGAAAAAGAGTATTCCAGGCATGAGGAACAGCATTTCATGTGTCATAGGTGGCATGAGGGGCCCTGGCTTATTTGGGAGACTGAGAGAAATGCCACATGGAGAGAGGACCAAGTGTGTCATGGCATGTTAAGGCTAAGATTGTGGGTGGCCACCCTTGTTAGACGTGTCAGATGCTGACCCTGCCTGTCCACAGCGGAGTTCTTCCCAATGCCGTGTTGCCCCCATCCTTGGACCATGTCTACGCTCAGTGGAGACAGCAGGAACCAGAGACCCCAGAATCAGGGCAGCCTCCAGGGGATCCCTCAGCAGGTACTGGGCAGTGGGGACTGGAAGCCAGGGCCCTGAGTTGGTGGGGCAAGCTCTAGGTCCTGATTCTGGGATTTGCCTTCCACACCTCTTCCAGCTTTTCAGGGCAAGGATCCAGCTGCTTTCTCACACCTGGAGGACCCTCGTCAGTGTGCGCTCTGCCTCAAATATGGGGATGCGGATTCTAAGGTGAGGGCTACCATGTGAAGCCCCAGGTTGTGGGGCCTAGTCCCTGGGGCCTTCCCTCACACCATTTCTCCTCTGCCCCCAGGAGGCAGGACGGCTCCTATACATTGGGCAGAATGAGTGGACACACGTCAACTGTGCCATTTGGTCAGCTGAAGTGTTTGAGGAAAATGATGGCTCCCTCAAAAACGTGCATGCTGCTGTGGCTCGAGGGAGGCAGATGGTGAGAGCCCGGGCCTAGAGAGGTGGGCAGCCCCAGGGTCTCGGGTAGCCCCCCCCTCCCACCCCTCTGCAGGGGAAACCGCTCTTGTTTCACAATTTCTACCCCACCATATCCTTTCACTGCTGGTCCTAGGGACCGTTTTTGGTTGTCCCAGGATTCTGGTGCTTCAGGGAGGACTCCCCCTCCCCCCATATTTGGGCCTGAAGCCTGGGAGATTAAAAGTTGGATCTTCTATTAATTGAACCTGTGTTGGAGGCTTTTCTATACTGTGTGACATTTAGCTCCTGCTGGCTCCCTGTGAGGTGAGGTGTGGCCTGGGTTAGAACCCCCTGCTCACCAGTGTGGGACGTGGTACTGTATAATGTCTCAGGCTTAGGAAGTGAGACCTGGGTGATATGTACGGGGGGGGGGGGTGCTAATGTGAAGATTAAATAAAATGATACAGGTTTTACACTAAAATAGCATGAGAGAGGAAGAGCATGCGACTCTTGATCTTGGGGTCATGAGTTCAAGCCTCACGTGTAGAATGTAGTGATGACTTAAATATATTTTTTTAAATGGTGTGAGAAAGATGGTAAATATTGTTTGGTGTTAGATGTTGTTGTTTTTTTTCCTATTGCTTCAGAAAATCTGAAGTAGTTTTGATGTGCACCTGGCCCTGGATGCAGCTAGGGAAGAGGGTATGTTTGATGAGTGCCTTTGCTTTGTGAGGCGCTGGGCTAGACGGGCCCAGTCAGAGTCTCAAGGACAGTGATGCTGAGCATCAAACCCTGGTCTCGGTCACTGGCTTCTCCCCTCAGCAGCCCCTTCCACCCGCAGCGCTGTGAACTCTGCCTGAAGCCTGGAGCCACAGTGGGCTGCTGCCTTTCCTCCTGCCTCAGCAACTTCCACTTCATGTGTGCCCGGGCCAGCTATTGCATCTTCCAGGATGACAAGAAAGTTTTCTGCCAGAAACACACAGACCTGCTGGATGGCAAGGTGAGCCAGAACCACGGGGGAGACAGCTCCCCGCTGCTTTCTCTTCCCTTTACACTTGTAGACCCCTGCAGCCCCTCAGCCCTGTCCCCAGCTGCCTCTTGGTGTCTTTTTTCCTGAGTCCTTGAGCCAAGCCCCCAGCTGTCCACTCCCTGCCTCACAGCCTTCCCTCACATCCCCCATGCCCCTCACCAATCTAGCAACCCCATTTGCCTTCCAGGAGATTGTGACCCCCGATGGGTTTGATGTTCTCCGCCGAGTCTATGTGGACTTTGAGGGCATCAACTTTAAGCGAAAGTTCTTGACAGGGCTCGAACCTGATGCCATCAATGTGCTCATTGGTAAGCCTCTTGCTCTCTACCCTGGTCTTCCTGACCCTGTCTGGCCCACCCTCCTGATCTCTTTGCATCGTAGGCTCCATCCGAATTGACTCCTTGGGTACCCTGTCTGATCTCTCGGACTGCGAGGGACGGCTCTTCCCCATTGGCTACCAGTGAGCAGCCCAGGGGGCCTGGGTGGGGTGGAAGGACTCCAGGACAGGATCCCATTTCCCAAGTTGTCCTGACCCTCTTACCCACACGCCCACCTGACAGGTGCTCCCGTCTGTACTGGAGCACAGTGGATGCTCGGCGGCGCTGCTGGTATCGGTGTCGTATTCTGGAGTATCGGCCATGGGGTCCGAGGGAAGAGCCAGTTCACCTGGAGGCAGCAGAGGAGAATCAGACCATTGTGCACAGCCCCGCCCCTTCCTCAGGTATGTGTCTTGAAACTCCCTCATTTCCTTCCCTGAATGCTGCCCTCCCCAGATGGTTACCCACCAAGCCCATTCCCTTCTTCCCTAAAGAAACCCCAAGATGTTTGCCATTCTTCCTTTTATCATAATGGCAATAACCGATCGCTTAACAGCTTTGCATTACATGCCAGGCACTGTGCTCAGCGTTTCACAGGAAGTGAGGGGAGAGCTACCTGCTTGGGGGGTGGGGAGCAGCTTCTAGACAAACAGAGTGTTTACAGCCACCTGACTTGGGATGTGCGCTCCCGCGATGCTCCCCGCAGCCCTCCAAGGAAGGCAGGCGCTCTGCTATACCGCAGCCCCGAAAGGGCACTTGCTCTGCACGGTAACACAGTGCTGGCATCGGGGTGTGAGCCAAATCAGTCCCCTCATAGCCGTGCCGATGCTGAGGGATGTCGCTGAGAGCCGGGTGGCACACAGCGAAGATTGGGCTTGGAGACGGGTAAAAGGAGAGCTTGTGGGCTGAAAAGGAGGAGGAAGATTTTCGGAGTGTGTTTGCAGGGAAGGGGTTTGTGCCAGGTTGGAGCGTGACATGAAGTAGAAAGGGGAGGAGAGCGTGCAGCTATCCTGGCTGGTAGCAGGGGAGTGTTGGGAGGAGGCGGCAGAGATTTGTTCTCGCAGATTGGGTGGAGCCAGTTAATGGGGAGCCCCAAGCGCCAGGATGCAGCAGATGTGTTTGATGTGGCAGGGATGCGCGGCACAGGTGAGGAAGCGGTAGGACTGGCCCTGCTGGAGGGAGGGCAGTGCCCCTCGTGGCATGCGGAGCCTGAGTCAGAGCAGTAGGCAGCCGGCAACAGGGGAGGTGGCAGAGATGCATGAGGAGGGGTTACAAAGGGCCCGTGATCCAGTTGTGTGTGGAGGCTTTAAAGAAGCCACAGAGGGGTGTGGGACCTGGGTGATGACTGGGAACCGGTGCACATTGTGACCGGACCATTGGGCAGGGGTGGGGAAGGCTTGGTTGGCTCAAAAGAAGGGAGGGTGTGTAAGGAGAGGCTTTGACCGTCCCTGCCATTCCTGATGCCATTCTCCTGCCTCCTCAGAGCCCCCAGATCATGTGGACCCCCCTCCAGATGCAGATGCCCTTATCCCTGGAGCTCCTGAGCACCACTCACCTGTTCAGAACCTGGACCCCCCACTTCGGCCAGATCCAAGCAGTGCCCCTCCTCCGGCTCCCCGCTCCTTCTCGGGGGCTCGAATCAAAGTGCCCAACTACTCACCATCCCGGAGGCCCTTGGGGGGTGTCTCCTTTGGACCCTTACCCTCCCCTGGTGAGTACCTGGGAGTGTCAGGGAGAGGGGTGGGTGGGTGAGGCAGGAGCTCATGGCTGACACTGACCCTTCCCCCCACAGGAAGTCCATCTTCTCTGACCCACCACATCCCCACGGTGGGAGACCTGGACTTCCCAGCTCCCCCCAGACGTTCCCGTCGTCCCAGCCCCCTGGCCCCAAGGCTGCCGGCATCACGGCGGGCCTCTCCCCCTCTCAGAACCTCCCCACAGCTCAGGGTGCCCCCTCCTACCTCAGTCATTAGAGCCCTCACGCCTACCTCAGGGGAGCTGGCTCCCCCTGGTCCAGCCCCATCTCCTCCACCACCCCCTGAAGACCTGGGCCCAGACTTTGAGGACATGGAGGTGGTGTCAGGACTGAGTGCTGCTGACCTGGACTTTGCGGCCAGCCTGCTGGGGACTGAGCCCTTCCAGGAAGAGATTGTGGCTGCGGGGGCAGTGGGGAGCGGCCACGGGGGCCCAGGGGACAGCTCAGAGGAAGAGGCCAGCCCTACCCCCCGCTATGTCCACTTCCCTGTGACTGTGGTGTCTGGCCCTGCCCTGGCCCCTGGTCCCCTTCCTGGAGCCCCCCGCATCGAACAGCTGGATGGAGTGGATGACGGCACGGACAGTGAGGCAGAGGCCGTCCAGCAGCCTCGGGGCCAGGGGACTCCTCCTTCAGGGCCAGGAGTGGGCCGGGCTGGGGTCATCGGGGCTGCAGGGGACAGAACCCGACCTCCTGAGGACTTGCCGTCAGAAATTGTGGATTTTGTGTTGAAGAACCTAGGGGGGCCTGGGGAGGGAGGTGCTGGGCCCAGAGAGGAGCCACTCCCCCCAGCGCCTCCCCTGGCCAATGGCAGCCAGCCTCCCCAGGGCCTGCCCCCTAGCCCAGCTGACCCCACTCGGACGTTTGCCTGGCTTCCTGGGGCCCCAGGGGTCCGGGTATTGAGCCTGGGCCCTGCCCCTGAGCCTCCCAAACCCGCCACATCCAAAATCATCCTTGTCAACAAGCTGGGGCAAGTGTTTGTGAAGATGGCTGGGGAGGGTGAGCCCGTCTCACCCCCAGTGAAGCAGCCACCTCTGCCCCCTCCCATCCCCCCCACAGCCCCTGCTTCCTGGACTCTGCCCCCGGGACCTCTGCTGGGTGTGTTGCCAGTGGTAGGGGTGGTCCGCCCCGCCCCACCACCCCCTCCTCCACTGACACTGGTGTTGAGCAGTGGGCCCCCCAGCCCGCCCCATCAGGCCATCCGCGTCAAGAGGGTGTCCACCTTCTCTGGCCGTTCCCCACCAGCGCCTCCCCCAAACAAGACCCCCCGGCTGGAGGAAGACAGAGAGTCCTTGGAGGATGCTCCCCAGGGTCCAGGGCTTAGTGGCAGCGGGTGAGTGAATGTGCTGAGTCTGTGGAGGAGGGTGAGAGAGGTGGGCAGGAGAAGGCAGCTCAGCCTTCTTGGGGTTCCTCCCCCAGGTTTAGCCGAGTGAGGATGAAAACGCCCACAGTGCGTGGAGTTCTCGACTTGGATGAGCCTGGGGAACCCACTGGGGAGGAAAGTCCGAGGTGAGTAGCCAGTGCCCTTTCCCTGGAAGCTCTGGGACCTCCATCCCTTCCTCTTTCTGACAGGTCTCTCCTCACAGGCCCCTCCAGGACCGGTCCCCTCTGCTGCCACTCCCAGAAGGTGGTCCTCCCCGGGCCCCCGATGGTCCCCCTGACCTGCTGCTTGAGTCCCAGTGGCACCACTACTCAGGTAGGGACCAGCCTCTCGCTCTCCCTGCCTCCTTCTTTATGCTTGCCTCAGCTGGGTGATGGTCAGATGCAGAGTCAGTCTACTTCAAAAGATAGACCTTGTGTACCAGTCTGGCTCTGAGCCTGAGACTAGGTATTCAGAGTTCGAGAGATGCCCTCGGAGCTCCTGGCCCGTGGCAGAAAAAGGCAGAGAGATGAAGTTTCAGCTCCACATGAGAGGCCCTTCAAAAGTGCCCAAGAGCTGGGGGGTCGGCTTCAGAGCCTGATCTGCCAGGGTCGGAGGGTTAGGTCCCTAGTGTGGAGGCTGTCAGAATTAGAGATGGGATTTAGAGCCGTGCAGCCAGACAAGAGCACCTGGGGGTCAGCCAGCGAAGATGGAGCTCATCTAGGATCCAGAGGGGCAGGAAGAGTAGGAAGGAGATAAGAGGACACCAGGCACGTGGGGTCTAGGGTTGGTGTACTGGCTGGGAAGGATGTTGTGTCAGGGTCTAGAATTGAAGACAGTGGTTGATGAGGAAGCCAAAATAAGACCCAGGCATCTTGCCAGCAAGCTTGGCTAAGGGTCTGAGAGGAGAGGGTGGGCAGCAGCCCAGAGAGGTTTGTATGAGGGCTGAGTAGCAAAGCCATGGAGGAGGGTGAAGGGGGCTTGTGGATGGAAGCAGAGGTGGGAGGAGGCGTGGTGGTTGGATGTGAATAGGAGACCGCTGAGGTGGAGGAAAGGGGAGGGCAGTGCACGTGCAGAGCCATCAGGACACAGGATAGGGGTACGCAGAGTGGATCGGGCTGACAGCCCTGGTGAAGCTGGGAGGGCAGTGAGTGCTCTGTTGGTTATAGAGGGCCATGGGAGAGGGGGTAGGCTACAGCCAAGCGAGCTGGTAACTGAGCAGCCTGAGGCTTGGAATTTCTCCTGGCCCCAGGCCTGCCCGGATGTGTGGATTGTCTCATTACGTAGCGCTGAGTTACTGAGCGTGGAAGCGGAGCGAGGTACACAAGAGACTGCTTAACTGAAAGACTGCGTATGGGGGTCAGAGGTGGCGTGAGGATATGGCAGTGACCATGACGGACAGGTCCCCACCCTTAGGGACCACGCCACATTTTGGTAGAGGAAACAGACACGTACGTTAGCAAGTGTACTGCAGCTGAGAACGAGCGCCGTGAGAAAGAAGGCAATGAGAGCGCCCGGGTGAGGCCCCTGTAGTCAGCCTGTCGGGTTCAGGGAACAGAATGGAGGTGAGGATGGGGTAAGGGCAAAGAGGAGGTGGAAGAAGTTGTCAGAGGTGAACCCAGAGGCACAGAGGCCTGGAGATGATTTGGGTCATACAGCAAATCAGGTTTGGAGTCTTGCCTCGGGATGGGAGGGCACACGGTCAGGTTGGCCCAGGGGAGTGGTGTGGGGAGCAAGTGTGGCCACATGGGTCCTGCCTCACTTCTAAAGCACGCTCCACTCTAACTGAGGTTCTCCCCACCCTCCCCCTCCAGACATGATGGTCAGCCCTCAGTCCGCATGGTGCTTGAGCTAGCTGCTGCATCTGGGCTGATCCCGCCCCCCAACCTCCTTGTAGCACTTCCTTCGATGGCTTCCAACAGCCCTGTCCCCCCCTCCTGGTCCTGTCTCCTCATTGCCCCAGCCTGTCACTTTGGCATGTCCCAGGGCTCCGGCCTTGACTTCTCTGTCTGTACCTACTCTGGGGTGTTCTCATCTACTTCATGGCTCTAAATCCCATCTCTTATTCTGACAGCCGGTGGATTGGTAGCCAGGCTCCTAGATCCTGCTGCCTGCTCCCCGTCTCCACCAGCAGGTTGCAAGGGCAGGTTTTCTAAGAGGAATTTCAGACTCAGCATATCCCAAACTGAGCTCTCTGCCTTCACCCCAGACTTGTTGCTCCCTCTCCCTCACCATCTATCTCATCATCGGCAGTTTTACCATTCCAGTTGTTCAGGCCCCAAACCTCAGAGTTGTCCTTGACCCTGCACTGGCTCTCTCCATCTCCTACATGCCCATCTCCTACAGCAGCAAGTCCTGTCTGTTGCGTCTTCAAAATCTTTAGACCCTGAGAAATCTCTTAAATAGCTCATAGTGTACATATACTTGACTCTGTGGGTAGGAGCCTATATAATAAGTTTGTAATATTTACAGAGCTGTGCTGCATATAAAAAATGCAAATATACTTCTGGGATTTTTAATTTTCTGTGAGAGAAGAATGAGGGGTAGATGAGCGTTTTTGGTAAGATGGGTTTGAGTGAGCGGGTGTCCGAGTGTGTCCTGCGGAGCCGGGGCACTCCAGGCCTCCATGGACAGGCTCATCTCTCCAAGAACTCTCACAGAAAAGGGACCGCGGGCTCTTTAGAGAAAAATAATGTCCATCCTGTAGGGCTCACGGGGCAGTCAGAGCAGGAAGAGAGCCCTCAGACCAAGTATCTGTGCTTGTGCAGGGAGAGGAAGGGAGGGGGTGGGGAACCCGGGGCTCTGGATCTGGGGTGATCCTCACCTACTCTGACCTGCTGCTTGGGACCAGGTGAGGCTTCAAGCTCTGAGGAAGAGCCTCCCTCCCCAGAGGACAAAGAGAACCAGGCCCCCAAACGGGCTGGCCCGCATCTGCGCTTTGAGATCAGCAGTGAGGATGGGTTCAGCGTGGAGGCGGAGAGCCTGGAGGGTGAGTCAGGAGTGGTGGTGACGGAGGGAAGGTGTCCGGTCAAGCCCCATCCTGACCGCTCTGGCCCTGCTCTCTCCTCAGGGGCCTGGAGAACTCTGATTGAGAAGGTGCAGGAGGCCCGAGGGCACGCCCGGCTCCGGCATCTCTCCTTCAGTGGCAAGTGGAGGGGCCGCAGGCACGCGGAGAGCTGGGAGGACTCGGAGAGGGTAAGAGGGGCCTCTGACATGACATGTGTGTCCTCACCTCTGTCCCCAGGAATGAGCGGGGCGAGGCTCCTGGGCATCCACCACGACGCTGTCATCTTCCTGGCGGAGCAGCTGCCCGGGGCCCAGCGCTGCCAGCACTACAAGTTCCGCTACCACCAGCAGGGGGAGGGCCAGGAGGAGCCGCCGCTGAACCCGCACGGGGCGGCCCGCGCCGAGGTCTATCTCCGGTGAGGCTCTGGGCGTCGCTGGGGGCCTTCTCGGGCGGGGGAGTTAGGTCTTTAGAGACTGGGAACCGGGGCCTGGGAGAAGATGCCAGGCCACTCCAGGAATCACTCCTAGATTCACGGCACAAGAGCGAGCCCCATCCATTCCCCTTCCACTCTGTCTTCGGGGGCAGCAGTATTTCTTCTTTGCTGGCGGCAGGCCCAAGCCAGAGGGTAGGTAGGTGGCGTCTCTTTGAAGGAACGGCTATTAGCCTCCCTTCCTCCTCCTTTCCTCCCTTCGTGTTGCAGGAAGTGCACCTTTGACATGTTCAACTTCCTGGCCTCCCAGCACCGGGTGCTCCCTGAGGGAGCCACCTGTGACGAGGAAGAGGATGAGGTGCAGCTCAGGTCAACCAGGTATGGAGGGCAGGCCAGGGTGTTGGGGGTGTTCTGGAAAGGTCCTAAAGAGGGTGACCGGGGCAAGAGAGGTCATTCCTGGGTACCAGCCTGTGACACTGCTGACCCCACCAGACGTGCCACCAGCCTGGAGCTGCCCATGGCCATGCGCTTTCGCCACCTCAAGAAGACATCCAAAGAGGCTGTGGGTGTCTACAGGTTAGTGGGGTCGGGGGGGGAGGATGCCCCTTGGGTGGATGGACAGGTGCCCTGGTGCGGGGCTGCCTTGGTTCTGTCCCCCTGCCCCCTGAACTCCCCCTGGCCCATCCTCCCCTGCAGATCTGCCATCCACGGGCGGGGCCTGTTCTGTAAGCGAAACATCGATGCTGGCGAGATGGTCATTGAGTATTCCGGCATCGTCATTCGCTCCGTGCTGACTGACAAGCGGGAGAAGTTCTATGATGGGAAGGTGGGCTCCACGGGGCCATGGGGCTGAGGTGGGCGAAGCGGTGGGGGCGGGGGGCTGGGCCGTGGGAACAGAGCACCTGATGGGCCGTCGCGGTCCCTGTAGGGTATCGGGTGCTACATGTTCCGTATGGATGACTTTGACGTGGTGGACGCCACGATGCACGGCAACGCCGCGCGCTTCATCAACCACTCGTGTGAGCCCAACTGCTTCTCTCGAGTCATCCACGTGGAGGGCCAGAAGCACATCGTCATCTTCGCCCTGCGCCGCATCCTGCGAGGCGAGGAGCTCACCTACGACTACAAGTTCCCCATCGAGGATGCCAGCAACAAGCTGCCCTGCAACTGCGGCGCCAAGCGCTGCCGTCGCTTCCTGAACTGAGGCCGCGGCGGCTCCCCCCACCCCCCGCTGCCGTCGTGCCCCGAGTCTGGGGGCTCCCGAGTCCCTCCCAGAGCATCTCACCCCCACCCTCCTGTTGAGGGTGGATGTGGGCCTGCAGGTGGCAGAGGCCCTGCCTCCACCCCTCCAGCCCACCCAGCAATCGCCCCCTTCTTGCCCTGGGGGCCCAGGATGTAGATACTGTACAAAGGTTTCTAAATCCCTTCTTTTCTATGCACTTTTTTATTTAAGAGGGTGGGTTCCCAGGTGGGAACCCCCCATAATAAAGTCTGTCAATGTTTGGAGAGGTGGTCTTCCGGTTTGTATGGTGCTGGGGGCAGGTAGGAGCTCCCGTTCCTCCACACCAGTCCTGAGCCGGGGGCAGCCTGGCAGCCTGAGCAGGGGGGTGGGAGGCCATCACTCAGAATTACAGGTAAGTCGTGGGGCTCTCTTACAGCGTCACAGCGACATGTGCTCTCGGGATTCCCACTTGGAACCCGGGTAGGGTCCCTGCGGATGAGCCCTTCCAGGGGTAGCAGGGCCCTTTCCCAGAGAGAACCTTGGTTGCCCAGAGGCACCTGAGGCCAGCTCTCAGTGGCGCCTCAGGCCGTATCTGGTCTCGCGTTTATGCTGGAAGGAGAGGATTCTCATTGGGTCTCGGCCCAGAAGACTGTATTTCAAAAGCACGCCTGAGTGAGGCCCAGAGACGGCAGGCGCTTATTTCACGGGAAACTTTCTTGAGGACTAGGCTGGGCGAGGCCCGGGTCAGCCAAGTTTGGACAGCACCTGCAGCGCATCTGCCCGCCCTAGCTGGGCCAGGTGCGTGCCGAGCTGGCCCAGAGAAGCAGAGGGTTCCCTCGCCACCACTATCGCAACCAAGGCCCGCAGTGGTGAGTGACTGGGCCGCAGTGAGTAGGCGAAGGTGGACCAGGCAGCAGGCAGACTGTACCTCACCGCCAGGTGTCTCGTGGTGCCACAGGCCATCCCCCGACCCGGCCCAGGCTCAGGATCCAGCAGCACTATGAGCTCCTCCAGCAGGCGACACAGGGGCTGTGATGCCAGCTTCGGCAGTTCTGGGAGAGCAGTGGAGGGGTGATGGAGAGGAAGGGCAATCTCCCAGTCCACCCTCTCCCTCCCTGGCCTGTCCCCGGCCAACCTCTGCCCACGAGTGGAACCAGAGCCGCCTCCTTCAGTGGGCCCCCTGCCTCGGATGCCTCCCGGGAGCCTGAAGAGGACGAGTGCACAGGGAAGAGAGTATGGATGTCGGTGTCGCCACAAACCAAGCCAGGATACGGGTGGAGGACAACTTTTGCCTGGCGGTGGCACCGCTGGGCGAGCAGGAGGATCACTGCTGAGGTCACCAGCAGAACCAGTACCAGGAGAACCAGCACGACCGGCAGGGCAAAATTCGGCAAGGCCTGCTGAGCGACCTTGCGCTCAGATGTCCACAAGAGGCTGGGCTCCTGGGAGCTAAGGACCGTTGGTCTCCCAGACTTCAGGGGGCAGGGCTCCTTGGGAGGGACCGACCTCTGCAAATAGGTTGGAATAAAGCGGGAGGTGTGCCCCACTCCTGGCCCCTCAGCCTGAACCTCCCATCCTTCTATCCCTCCGTGGGACCAAATCCCCGCCCGATCCAGCTATCCCCCCTCGCTTCCCCGCCCCCCTCCCACACACTTTAACCCAGGTAGATCCCCTGATCCTATTATGCCCCCACCCCATTCTCTTCAGTGGGGCTACACCCCCCTCCCTTGATCCAGACCCCGCCCATCCAATCCCAAGCCACGCCCTCCACCGCCGCCCCGCCTCCAGCGAGCGGCACCCTAGCCCAGGCCCTCGGGAGCCCGACCAGCACCTCTCTGCAGCGCCGCTGTGTTCCGCTCCGGCTCCCCGCGGGAGCAGGGGCCGTGGCTCCGCCGCCACAGGGGCTACATAGCTCCGCATTGTCGGGGTTGCACTGCCCAATAGGACACTCTTTGAAGGGGCGCGACACGTGATCGCCAGAGTCATTGAGCCCGCAGTTTTCCGAAAACTTAGTCTGGTGGGAAACAGGGTCTCACGTGTGGCCGCCCAGCCCCTCCTCTCCGGCACTAGCGACACCCTTTCCCCTTTGTCCTATCCCAGCAGGCCCCACCTCTTGGGCTCTACTAACCCAACCTATCACCGACGTGCCCACCGTCCCCGCACCAGCCCTGCCAGTCTCGACCCTCTCTTCACAGGCCCCGCCCCTCCCATTATCCCCGCCCCGCTCGAGCACCAAGCCCCGCCCACTCCTGATTTACCCACACACCCCACCCTTTGAACACTGCCGCGATCCCGCCCAACAGGCAATACCCCTTCGCCGTGGCCCTAACGTAACCGGTACTATCCCTTCCATCACAAGCTGAGTCCCACATCGTCTTATCTGCGTAAGGCCCGCCGCCCCCACCCCGAAGCAAGCCTCACAGTAACCCACAGACCGTCCCTTCCCTGGCTTCTTATCACCCCCTGGCTCCGCCCGAACATACGCATACCCCCGTCCCCGCTCCTCACCCGGGCAGGGGGGCGGCCCAAAGCGCTGCAGGCAGCTGCCGCAGCACCAGTTATCAGGGTTCCAGTACTCGAGGCGCCCGCAGTGCTGGGAGGCCCCCCGAGGCGCCGCCTGGGCCAGGAGCAGCGCGGCAGTCAGGAGGAGGCATAGGGGCCCCATCCGGGCGGGGTCTGCAGCCTGGGGGGCCGTGACCGCAGGACTTCCGACCACAGCGCTTCCGTCACACTTTCCAGGAAACCCGGGCAGAAGGAAGCAGTGATGTGGGGGCATGGCGTCCCCAGACCCCTTTGGAAGACGGGAATCTACCCCCAGCCCCTAGTCCAGCTCCTGGCCCGTTATCAGAAGGGCCACCAAGACCTCAAGATGCCTAGAATGAGGAGTCCGGAACCACAATGATCAGATTCATATCCCACCTCTGCCATCTTCCTTACCTCTTTTCTCATCCCTAAAACGGGATGACAGTACCTGTCTCAAAGATTTATTGTGAAGAATTAACATCATTGCTTGAAGTAAAGCACTTAGAACAGCACCTGGCATATGGTAAGCTTAAGTAGTAGGTTATTTCCAACTCCCATGTCAGGGCAGCTGACAAGGAGGACCCAGACCTCACCCTCTGGAGACTCCCACTCAACTCCCAGTAACCTTACCTTGGCTCCCTAAACCCAATCTCCTCCCGACTGGGAATCCTCCAACCTGCCACAACTAGGCACCTCCCCCTTGAGAAGCCGGAGAGAGCCGTACTGAGGTTCCCAGCACAGAGGTGTCCCCACCCCACCCAGTCCCACTGAGGGGTTTCTAGAGCCTTGGGCCCTGAGCCTGCTGCTCTCCTACCTGTTGGAAGTTCTACAGCAAAAGTTGTGGCCAGAGCCCAGCCCGCCTCCCCTTTCGTCAGGAGATGTGGGGGTGGAAGGTAACTCCAGCCCACAGCTAGGCTCAAGCTAACAGGTTCTAAACCCTCAATACAGAACTTTATTAGGGGAGGGGTGGTAAGAGAAAGTCCCTGTGTTGAACAGATTACATCACGGAGCCCCGGAGCCTGGGGAAGATGGCACTGGGGGGTTAAGGGAGCTTTCAGGAGGGGTCCTGGCCAGGAACATTTATGCCTGTCAAGGGTGGAGATTAAGGGAGCCAGGGTCTCAGAAGCGGCCATGCCGGTGGTCTGGGGAACGTCGTCGGTTTCTTTCTCGGGGACGGTGGCCGGTATGGGACCTCGGGGGCGACCTGGGGACAGGAGTGGAGAGATGAGGGTTAGAGCTGGAAGGAGTGTGGCCCCGTTCCCCAGGTCTGCCTCTCTGCTCTGGGATGGGGCAGGTAACCAGAGTTCCTGCGTGGTATCAGGACAGGTTCTCAGGGACTGATCTCCGGACTGGAGATCCAGACTGGTCTTGGGTTTGGGGCTTTGGAGTCCCAGCTGGTTTGGGGGTTGAGACTCAGGCGCTGGTCTTTGGACGGTGCTCAGAGCTAGTCTTTGGATATGAAAGACAGACGCTGTTATTGGGGCACAGGATCAGGTCCACCTCGGGGTATAAGGGCCTTAGGGTATGAGACGTCTTGACAGGCTGGTCCTGAGGTACCTGCGCCTGGGTCCCCGCCCATACAGCTGACGTCGGAGGTTCCGAGAGATGGGCCGCAGGTGCATGAAGTTGCAGAAGCCCCCGCGGGTACATTCCCTGGGTAGAGGATGGATGGATGGACAAGGCTGTTGGCAATGACTGCACCCCAACACACAGGAGTCTGGGACTCCAGGTGCCCATCCCACCCCCATACTACCATACCCCATCTCATACTGCCGGCAGCATGACTCCCGGAAGTCGGTGACAGGAGACAGCTCAGCATGCACAGCCTGCCCGTTGAACCAGCGGTTATTGAGTTCAGCCACTGCCCGCTCTGCATCCTCTTCACGCCGAAACTGAGGGCAAAGTCGATCAGGGTCAGCAATCAAACTCAGAAGTCTTTAGGGGATTAGTCAGCAGCTCTGGGGCCGGGCTGGATTTAGTGATGGACCTCAAGCTGTGAGGCTTCAGTGGTGGCCATCAGGCACTGAAATGCCTCCACCTCTAGGCTCTCATGTGGGGACAGGAGGCACCTTGACATAGACATTGCCCACGAGGTGGTCCCCCAGGTTGTCGCACACATTCATCTCTTCAATCTCCCCGTACTTCTCCTGCAGCTCCGTGAACACCTCCTGCGGAAGACCAGGAGGAACTCAGCTGAGCTCCTGTTCCACAGGAAACTCAACCCATCCCTTGCCAACCCTCACCTCGAAGAAGTTATCATAGTGTTCTTGCACCTCGACGTCGCTCACGTGACCTGGGGAGGGGCAGGGTGAAATCAGGGAGTGGCCTGTTGGGGGCTGTCCGCCCTGCCCCCAAGACCGGTCCCTCACTCACAGTGCGATCCGTCTGCGGTTTGGGCGGTGTTCTGTGGATTCCGGTACAGGTTGAGCAGCACTATGGTCTGAACAGAATTTAAAGGGGGCGGGCCTGAGCGCATGCAAAGGGGTGAGGTGAGGTATGAAGGCTGGGGGTGAGACTTGGCAACAGAGAAGAAGCCTAAGCATCTTGAGTGCATCAAGCGATGCTTGCCCCGAAGGAAACCAGAAGAGACACCTAGCACTCGGGGACAGCCCAGCGGTGTAATTTGTACGTACGGGGGCGTGGCAAGTTCCTCGGAGAAGGGCCTGAAGGAAAGGGGAGGAACCTGCAGAGGCCCGACACGAAAAAAGCCGGTGGTGGGGTGGGGCTTAGAAATCCGGAAAAGGCGGGACCTCGTGGTGACGGCCAACAGAAGGGGAATGGCCGGGAGGCGTTAACCCTCAAGGCTCCGTGCCGGGTCTCACCTGGCTGAAAGTCGGTTTGTTGTGAAGCCGGGAGCACCGGTCCCCGTGCCGGCAGGCCCCGATCTTAAAGTAAAAAGAGCAGTTAACCCTGGAAGAGGTGCAAAGACAGAGGTGAACCGAGGGCCGGGGAGGCCGGACACCCCAGAAACACCGCCCAACGCCTCCCAGCCACCAGGGAACCAAATGTCCCGGTCCCGGCCCCCGCAAGGGGCCACTCCCTGCGCCCGTTCTCACTTGTCCTTTTCAGTCCCGAATATCGAAGCTAAATATTCAGCCATTTTTACCCGAACCCTCCAACACTCTCTGCTCTTTACGTCATTTCCGTTGCTTAAGAGCGTTGGGAAGTGTAGTTGGTCGCTGCCTCCCGACACAGCACGCGCTCAGAAACCGCCTACTGCGCTTGCGGGTTAGAGCCCTGCGCCCTCCCTGCAAAATCACCACCTGGAGTTCCCTGAAGGCGCATGCGTATAGCGTTGCCGCATCCAAAAAGACTACAAACTCCAGAGATACTTGCGGTATGTCGCGCAAACGTCCGGAATTGCAAGTGGCTAAGGCTTCCAAGCGGAGGAAGTAGATTGCACTGGTGAGTTGGGGTCCGTTCGCGCCCCTGAATAAACATGAAGAGCGTTCGACCCAGTCAGCTTGCTGGTGGGGGCCGGGGTACCCTTCTTTCGGCAAACCCACCCTTCAGTTTATCTCCGTTTTGTCGTTATAGGGGCGTGGTTGTTTTCGATCCCTGCATCTGTCACTTGGGGTCAAGGCTAGGCTCCTGCCCTACAGACCCGCGGGACGACTCGGCCTCAGCGCAACTATGAACTTGGAGCGGGTGTCTAACGAGGAGAAGTTGAATCTGTGCCGGAAGTACTACCTGGGTAAGGGGCCGGTTCCTAGGATCCCAGGAGAAGAGAGGGGACCGGACTAGAGCGCCTGAGGGAAGAGAGCCTGGGGGCCTGGATTCTTGAGTCTAAGGGATAAAGCGACTGGGGTTGCGGACTCCTGGATCTGAGGGAAGGGCCTGGGACCTGAGGAAAGAGGAAGCTGGAGCCTCAGCTTCTGGGTCCCAAGAGACGGGGGGAGTTGGGCCGGACTCTGGGTCCTGAGAAAGAGATGAATGAGGAGTCAGATTTGGGGGCCCTGGGGGGGGGGGCAGGATTTCTAAGTCTCTGATAGCAGAGATCTCCATTTGAACTTGGATATGGGGGAGGGCCTTCCGTCCTCTAGGTGGGAGTTGGGGCAGGGGGAGGGGAGGGAGAGGAGGATCCTCACTGCCTTACATTCCAGTTTGTTTGTTTTTTCTCTTAGGTGGGTTTGCTTTCCTGCCTTTTCTCTGGTTGGTCAACATCTTCTGGTTCTTCCGAGAGGCCTTCCTTGTCCCAGCATACACGGAGCAGAGCCAAATCAAAGGCTGTGAGTCCAGGGCACAGATGAAGGGAGGCCATCGGGTGTTGGAAGGGAATGATGGAGGTTCCAAAATTCTGGGGCTCTGGAAGAGACGAGAGGGCCAGCATGGGGCGGGGGGGGGGGGGGGGGGCTGGGCAGGACAGGTGGAGGCCAACCTTACCCATTCCTGTTCCCTTTTACAGATGTCTGGCGCTCAGCTTTGGGCTTCCTCTTCTGGGTGATTGTGCTCACCACCTGGATCACCATCTTCCAGATCTACCGGCCCCGTTGGGGCGCCCTTGGTGACTACCTCTCCTTCACCATACCCCTGGGTACTCCCTGATAGCTTCCTCCACACAGGCCTGGGACCTGCTCATTCGCCCAGGATGGGCTTCTCTACTCTAAGCTCACTCTCAAACCCCTAAGACTTGTTCTCACTTCCTATGTTCTTTGCTGACATCCCCCAATAAAGGACTCTATTCTCTATATTGACTTCCTGGATCTTTTGGAGCTTGAAGCATAAAATGATTATTACTATTCAGAAATACGTATTGAATGCCCACTTTGTGCCAGGCTTAGTGCTTCACACATTATGTGCAATCCTTCATTCTCTGCACCCTCTGAAATAGGAACTTTCCTGCTCAGGAACCCTGTTTTCCAGACGCAGAACTAAGAAAGGAATAATGCTTGCATTACTAGGGGCTTTTATCCTGTGCTGGTGGTGTGTGAATTTGAAAACTGTACTTTTCCCCTTGGTCTCAGTATTCTCATCAGAAATGTGGATATCAATGCTACCTCCTAGAATTTATCTGAGCCAAAACGTATGTGGTAAATGGAAGTTTCCCATTTTCTGAAGATGTTGTCCGCAGCAACAGACACAGCCAAGAGCTTTATCAGAGAAGGCTTCCTTGACTATCTTATTTAAAATTTCAGTCCCTACCTTAGTACTCCCTATATGCCTTCAGGTTGTATCCTTTCTCATTACATTTAATTTGAAATGTTTCACTTGTTTCTTGTAATCTTAACATCCTCTAAAATATACGCTTTATTACGTTTTGTTCAGTGCAGTGTCCCCAGTGCCTAGAAGAGTGCCTGGCACACTAATAAATACTTGCTAAATAAAAGGTTGTGCCTGAAGAGAGGTTAACAGGTAGCTGGCACCTAGCAAGTGCTCAGTAAGACTGAACCCGGCCTAACTCCAGACTTCTCCTCCTCAGGGACAAGAAGGACTCCCACGGTTAAATAAACGGGTCGACAGCTAAACTGGTGTTACTCAAAGGTTCTAACACTACAAGTTCCAAGAAGCCTCGCGAAGCCCTGATCCTACATCACCCACCGTGCCTCGCGCGGCGCAGCCGCCGTTACTCTAGCTGCGTCTCGAGAGCTGGAACTACACCTCCCAGGAAGCGCTCCGGGATGTCGTTGGTTTGTTTCCGGAAACGGGGCCTCAGAAAGGTGGGACTTAGACCTGGGAGCCGATGGCGGCAGCTGTCAATTGGTCAGGGACGAGATCGACGGTTGCACTGACAAATGGAAATAAGGAATTGCCAAAGGGGCCCGCCCACAGAAGGGAAACTACTGGAGGTGGCGGCTGCAGTGGCGGTCGCCGCCGGACACTCCTCAGCGCGGAGGACTGGGCGCGCACAAAGCTTACCTTGACCTCTTCCCGTCTGCCTTCAGCTTTGATTTGTGACACTGGGCTCTTCTGGGCTCTTCTGACCCAGTTAGCCACATCTCAGACCCAAACCATGTTCCCGGTGAAGGTGAAAGTGGAGAAATCAGGTGAGGACCCCGAGGTAAGGGGCTTTTAGGGGAGCACTGACCGATCGGGGTATGGGAGTCCCGAAAGACAGGATTATCGCGATAAGACGGACCACGCGACTTCCTGCCGCCCATCTGACTATCGCTATGTCAGACCATGGAACGATTCTTGCCCTCTTCATACTTTCCCGGTTTGTGCTCAAGGTAGCGTTGAGACTGAATGGTGGTGGCTCAGACCGTGTGGTGCGGTAAGACACCGGGATCCCGAGCCGTGTGACTCTGAAAAGGAGTCTTCTTGGCTTTGCCTCAGTTGCCCTGTTTCCAGCAGTGGTCATTTCCAGCAAAGGTCAAGCATTGTGCTCAGCGCCTGAAGTACAGGGAAGCTTTTAATCCTGGCAATCACTGTATCCCAACAGTCCTAGGAAGTAGGAGAAATGTGGTGGGGGGGGAAACCGAAGCTGAGAGAGAGGAAGTCATTTTGAGTTGGGCCCGAGTTGATGGGAAATCAGGACTGGCATATTGAGGGTGGTGGTGGGAGAGGCACAGAATCCAGACTAAAAAGCAAAATGATGTGTAGGGTGTTTGATGGTATAAGTGGTAATAAAACGAAACAGGAGAAGGTCAGATCTGACAGGATGAGGGAGAGAGCTATGAGGATAGGTGAGGAAACAGCAAATCCGACCAAGGAAATAGCTCCGAAGAGGCCCTGAGGTGGAAGACTCATCTGGCCTGTGCAAGGACGGGCAGGGAGGCCAGTGTGGCTGGAGCAGAGGGAGTGAGGTGGGGAGCGGGAGGGAATGACGGCAAAGAGTGAGAAGGAGGAGGACAGATCTTGTGGGCGCAAGTTAGGACTTTGGCTTTTGTTTTGAGGGAAATGGGGAGCCAAGGGAGGGTTTGAAGCTGAGGAGCGAGTTAATAAAAATGCCCCCCCAAACGCCAAAAAAATCGTGGGTGGAAGAGTAAAGGCTTGGCCACAAATGATGGTTGGGGGGCAGGGGTAGGCAGGGTCATGGAGGCCTGTGAACACCGGGCTGAAGAGCTCAGTCCCGGGGCTCTGCAGAATTGTGGAGTGTTCTGAGCAGGAGAGGATCAGCGTTGGTTTGGTTTTCCAAAGAGTCCTCTGGCCACCTTGTGGAGGTTAGGTCAGAAGAGGAAATTGAGGCTGGGAGCCCAGGAGAAGGAAGGGAGAGGACTGGGGTAGGGAGGGGGTACATGGAGAGACACTCAGGAGACCAAGTGGACAGGCCATGGGTTTGGTGAGCTGGGTGGGGGAGGGTGAGAGGTGTCTATTATGAGGCTCAGGGAGGGACTAGGAGACAGTGGGGCTAGCCCCGAGATGGGGGCCCAAGAAAAGGGGTAAAGCATAGAGAGGCACTAAGCCTAGTGTGGGACCCAGTAGATGGTAGGGGCCTAGGGGATGTCTAGAGAAAGGTATCTAGGAGACCTTGGGATCCCAAGGTCTAAGGTTCAGAAGAGAAGCAGGGGCTAGGGAAAGAGATGTGGATATGATCTATACCTTGGCTCCTTCCCAGGGCTCTTTGCTAGAATCTCAGCTGTCCCTAGCCCTTCACCCCCACCCTGTCTGTCCTCAGTGATGTTGGGAATCCCTGTGTCTCCCCATCCCAGGGCTGGCAAAGCATGTCCCCAAGTGTCCTTCCAGGCTTTGAGCATTGGGCCAGAGTGATGCTAGGTACTGGTTGGAAGAAGAGAGCAAACACCTCACAAGAGCAAGAGGAGAATATTTATAACATCATCACCTCCTTAAGTTCTATGATGAGGGGAAGTAAACACATAGGCCGACAGAGCCAGGAATGCAGGAAGGGGGGCCTAGATGTCATTTCCTGCCCAAAATGGATATTTTAGGTGCAGTCTCCAGATTATTAAATGTTGTCCATTCAGATTTAGTTCAGATTTAAAATAACACCACTGCCTCAGCCAAACAAAGCACATCTGGGGGCTAGATTCTGCACCCAGTTTGAGTCTCTGCCTTATAACTTCAGCTGTGGAGCCAGATGGCCTGTGTGCAAATCCTCAGCCCTGCAATTTCCTCGCTGTGTGACTTTGAGCAAGTAGCCTAACTTCTCTGTGCCTCAGTTTCATCATACATAAGATGGGGATAATCATATCTACCTGCCAGAGTTACTGTGAAAATGTAACAGGGTTAATGTGGGTGATGTGCTTGGAACAATTCTTGGCACATAAAAGTACTCTGTACAACTTACTTATTATTATTACTGCTTGTTGTGAAGAGACTCATACACACCATAGGTTTATTTAAACCTCACAACAGTCCTTGCAGATAGGTATCATTGGGAGACCTATTTTCAAGGTGAGGAAACGGGCTCAGTGAGGTAAGGTGACTTGCCTTTGGTCACACATGAGCATGTGGGACAACCGTGGGACCCAGCGCTCTTGCTCATCACATCAGTTGGCTTTGCCCACTGCACCCTCCTGGCTGAAGGCTTGGATATGCGTGCCCCTCCCCCAGCCCAGTTGGCTGCCCACCCGCCTTGGGCCTGGGAACTGACTCCTGCTCGGTATCTTCTTCCCCAGAGCTGGAGATGGCCAAGGCCCGGAACCAACTTGATGCTGTTTTGCAGTGTCTGCTGGAGAAGAGTCACATGGACAGGTTGGGACCTGGCCAGGCACGGGCCATAGGGGGTTGGGAGTCCTGGCAAGTTGGACCCTCTGGTCCTGGGGGGATGTGGGTAGGACCCCAGAGGCTGGCTTAGGGAGCAAGGGGCCCCATGGAAAAGCCACTCAGTGCCTTCCCACTCAGCCCTGGAAACCCCGAGCCCACAGTTCTCTTCTGTACCAGGGAGCGTCTGGAGGAGGAAGCTGGGAAAACCCCCTCAGACACCCACAACAAGTAAGTTTTGTGGATGGGATCTGTATCTGAGGGTTTGTGCTGGACAACTTCCTGCCTCGTCCAAGCTTCCTCCACCGTAGTCCTAACCACCCTGCATGTACAGAGACCCTGCGGCAGCAGAAGCTTAGGTCCCCTCATGGTTGCCACCTACCGCCCTGGAGGCGTGAGCGGGACACAGGTCTAAGGGGTTGGTGGGGTCCATGCAAACATCTCAGCATCCCCAGGGCGCCCTTTGGGCGGTTTTGAGTGGGCGTTTTTTCGAGGGTCAGCCTGCTGACACCTTGTCTCTCCCCACAGGGATTGTTCCATTGCAGCCACTGGCAAACGGTAAGGTGGCAGGGACCCCAGCTGACTGACGGGAGGTCGCCAGCCCCCGCCCCGGTCCTGATGTTCTCCTGCCCCACACAGGCCATCTGCCCGCTTCCCCCACCAGCGGAGGAAGAAGAGGAGGGAGATGGATGACGGGCTGGCTGAGGGAGGCCCACAGCGATCCAGTGAGTAGGCGGTGGTTCTAGAGGGCAGGCCGGGTCGGGGAGCTGTGGGAGGACGGTCACACACCTTCCCCTCCCATTACGCTAGACACGTATGTGATCAAGCTGTTTGACCGGAGTGTGGACTTGGCTCAGTTCAGTGAGAACACACCGCTCTACCCAATCTGCCGAGCCTGGATGCGCAACAGCCCCTCAGTGCGTGAGCGTGAACGCTCACCCAGCTCACCACTGCCCCCACTGCCTGAGGATGAGGAGGTTGGATATGTGGTGGGCCCCCTCTCAACAGCCAGTGGGTAGATGGTGAAAGGTGTCCTCTCCCAAAGCTAGTGGGATAGATAGGCACGGGTCTCTGTGATTTCTGGATCCGGTGAGGCACACAGATGCGAACCCTTTGGCCGAGGGTATGGCTGGAACTCCTTGAAGCAGACAGACATGATACCTGGCCTGAGAGGGAGAGGGGACAGGGCTCCCTTGGGCAGGTAGATGTGCCCTCCAAGATTAGAGGTTCCCAAAAGCTGGGGGGCTTGACAGGGGTCCTTACTGCAAACAGGTGTAGCCACCTGGCCTAGGGGAGCAGATGGAGGTTACTGGGCTGACTAGGAGTGATTGGGGGTCCCTGGGCTGGACAGAATACAGGCAGGGATCCCTGGAGCAGACATTTCTTTGACATGGCTCTTAAGACAGGTCCCCAGTGAGACCCTCGTGTCTGCTGTCACTGGGAAAGGCAGGAGGGGGGAAGTGTGTACTGCTGGCCCTCTTCTCTAACTCTCTTGGGCCTGGTGTGGGGCCCTTGTGTCCCCAGAGTTCAGAGGTCACCAATAGCAAGAGTCGTGACGTGTACAAGCTGCCTCCACCCACAGCCCCTGGGCCACCTGGAGATGCTTGCAGATCCCGAATTCCATCCCCCCTGCAGCCTGAGACCCAGGGTACCCCTGATGATGAGGTGGGTACGCAGGCTGGCCCAGGGCCGTGGGCAGATGGTACGGGGCTTGGGCATGGCCAACCCCGCCTGGCCTCTCTGTCCACGCAGCCCTCCGAGCCTGAGCCCTCACCATCCACGCTCATCTACCGCAACATGCAGCGCTGGAAACGCATCCGCCAGAGGTGAGCGTCCCCGAACCTGCTTGTACCCCTATGGCTTCTTCCCCAACTGCTGAGTCCTCCCTCTGCTTCTCTACCCCCAACACAGGTGGAAGGAGGCATCTCATCGGAACCAGCTTCGGTACTCAGAAAGCATGAAGATCCTGCGGGAGATGTATGAGCGACAGTGATGTTCCCCTGCCCACCACATCCCCCCAATAAACATTCCCCTCCTTCCCACCTCCACACTGGCCTCTCCTTGCTCCAGCCCATATTTCCCAGCGCAGACATAAAGCAGTTGGCACAGCTCTAGCACATTTATTGGGGGAACAGATAAGGGGATGGGGTGGCAGGAAATTCAAGGAGGGAGAAGGATTGTGGGGCACCAAAGCAAAAGTGGCCGCTTGGTTGGATCTTGGAGAACAAGGGGAGGTATGTGGTTGGAGATGAGGGGATTACAGCAAAATGATGGGGTTCTGGTTAGAGCTGGGGATGGGGCTTAGGATATCTGTGCAGAGTCTGGAGAGATGGGGAGGGTATCTGTGCACTCGGAGGTTGAGGGTCCTGCTAGGCCTGGAATAGGTGTCCAAGGGTGGGGGGTCAGAAAAAGGGTTTAAAAGTCTGGGATGGGGGCGCTGGCTGGGGTTTCAAGTCACAAGATGGGTGGGGGGAGTAGATTGTCCAGTTGGAGTGAGGGGAAGGATCCAGAATCTTGAGGACCAGGCGTTGGATGGTCTGGGATATTTGAGGGGTGGAGAGGGATTATGCTTAACTGGCCTAGGGTGGGGGCAGGGCTGTCCACACCATAATGTGGTGTTGGAGAGGGAAAAGGATTAAAATGGGATGTGGAGATATTTTAATAGATGAGTCAGAAGGAAGCAGAGGAGGGAGTTTTGAGTGGGTTTATATGCCAAGAAAGTGGGGCCAGTGGGGCCGGGAGACTGTAGGCTGAAGGGTTGTCCGTGTACGGCCTGGAAGCTAGGGAGGTGTCAGGAGTCCGAAAGCTGGAGGGGGTGTGAGAACGGGAGTGTCAGAGGAATGGTCTACGTTACCAGGGAAGAGTCTACGTGGGGAGGGTCAGGGTAGGATCCCAGATTGGGTGGGTGGTTTGGGCGCGCTCGGGACATCTGGCTGGGCGGAGTCAGGTCGGCTTTAAAAGAGGGGGCTTGAGGCGGCTCCCGGGGTTCAGACGTGACGTCTACTTGGCAGCAGCCTGCGGCTGTGGCAGTGGGGCCTGGGGCGTTGTGGGTGCGGCCTGGATGGACAGGACGCCCTCAGGGGACAGCGCGGACGTCACGGCGGCAGGGTCCACACCAGGCGGCAAGCGGTAGCGGCGGTGGAACTCGCGCGCGATGTATCCGTGCTCATCCTGGAGAGAGAGACTTGAGCGGCCCCAACCCTTTTCCTGTGGATGCCCCGCCCCTCCGGCCTGCGGATCCACCTACGCGTTCTGGCCCCACCCCTACCAGCGGGCTCACCGGGCGCTCCTCGTGGCGCGCATGCACCTCCACGTGGTCGCCAACCACCTTGACGGCGATTTCCTCCGGGGAGAAGTGCTTCACGTCCAGCAGCACCGAGAAATGCCCGGGTTCCGTTGGGACCTAAGCACAGCCCGATCGTCATCGGCGGGGCGAGGCTCCTCCCCCGGTCGGTTCCGGGGCTGCCCCTGTCCCAGGCCTCCGGAACTGGGCAATCCATTCCTTTCCTACTTGTAGCCCCGGAGGATCTCTTCACCCAGAATAACTGGGATCACCCCTCCCCCTGTGATCACTGAGATTCTCTCATCCAGAGTGATGAGGTCCCCCCTTCCCCTGCAAGGTCAGGGACCTCGGCTCTCACAGAGTCAGGCCTGCCCCCTCCCCGTGTCAGAGTGTTCTTTGGACACTGAATCCCCAGGCCCCCATCCCTCAGAACCCCTGGTGCACTTACTGCACACCGCCCCCCCACCAGAAATTGCCAAGATGCCTCTTCCCCCAGCTTCCAGAGTCATCTTTCTACCCTCCCACTGGAGTCACGGGGCCGCTTACGCCCTTAACAGTTACCAGTATCCACCCCCACTTCTCAGAGTGGCCAGGCCCCCCTTTCTCAAGTCACAGGACCCTCCCTCCCCTCTGTCTCTCCAGGAGGCAGAGGGTCGCCACATACATACAGTCTCCAAACTCTTCCCCGAGAATGACAAAACATTCCCTCCCCTCAGGAGTCCCTGGGAACCCCCATGCCCTTCAGAATAACTGAGCGCCCCCCTTTCCCCAGATTTCCTGGGTCACCAGCCTCCTTCTGAGTCACCAACGCTCCCCTCAGAGTGACGGCCCCACCCTATCCGTGACTCAGCCGTTCCAGCCCCTCAGAGCTGAGACCCTCCTCAGATGGGCAGGGACCTCCCACCCGCTTCAGTAATCCGGCCTGTGAAATTCCATACTCAGGGAACTCTGGAAGCCCCTCTGAGTGGCCGGACTCTCCACCCCGCTCAAAGTCGGGGGACATTCCTCACCCTCCCCCCTCCCCGGGATGACCGGGGCTCGAGCCTTGCAAGTGGTCGAGTTACCGCCCTCCCCCAGGCCTGGCACCTGGGCGGTAGGCAGCGCCACGCTGGGTGCGCGCAGGTAGTAGGGGGCCAGTGAGGCGGGGCAGAGCGCAGCCAGCTCGGCCTCCAGCAGCCCCTCGCCGAAGCGCTGGTCGAAGAGGCGCCCGGGCAACGGGGTCGAGGCGCGGCGCAGCCAAGACGGCTGCACAGGCACGGGGATCTCCATCCTGCTTCGCCGCCGCCGCCGCCGCCACCGCCCTTAGGCTCCGCAGTGCCCCTGCGTGCGCCGCAGCCGCTCTTATAGTACGCGCCTTGTGTCCGCCCCTCGGCGGGCCGCCCGGGGACATTGGGACCGCGGCCAGCCCCGGCCATTAATAGAGTCTTACTTAGAAAGCCCAACAATGACTTGGCCATTTATTAAGCGCCTGCTGGATGCCAGAGAGGTGATCCCCCGATATCCCAAAGGGGAAACTAAGGCTGAGGAGGTGGAGCCTTGCCGAGTGGGTAGGACGGCGCGGCATTTGGGACCCGGGGCCCGAAAACCCCTGCGCAGAGTTCGCAGGCCCTTTAATCCACCCCCGCCCCGCAGGCAGCTCTGGGGATGACGCAGATGGCGGTCTTAGGAGCAGATTCTTGGGTACAGGGAATGTGGTAGCCGGCCAGGCTGTCAGGAGGACACAGAACAGACCCTACTCCCATCTCAGCAGGGCCTGGGCCCAGCCCCCCGACAAGCCGGGCCTAATTCTGGGCCTCTGACTCAGCCTCGGGTGCGCAGGGTAGCGGGGTCTGCCAGGTGAGCAGCGGCCAGAGGGCGCGGGCACGAACAGTCCAGGCTGGCCCCCGAGGGGCCGCGCGGCGGGCCCGAAATAGCTCATTTTGATCCCACCACCTCGGCTAGGAGCCCAGGCCTGGCACTTAGCGCAACCAGCTGCTCCCGCAGCAAGACGGAAGTGGTTAATGACTCCGCGGGACTGGTTGGCTGGCCCGACTGATGGAGGGGCGGCGGTTAGAGAGGGGACAGATTCCCCGATTGCCCTGCAACGCGAAAAACGGTGGTTACATTGGAGTCCGGACAAGATTTCCGCACCAAAAGGGGGAGTGGCTCTAAGACACTGGGGGAAAGCGAGAGTACTTTATGACCCCTCCTAACCGCGAGCTCACCCTCAGATCCTTTCCATTGGTCCACAGGCTTGCCAATTACTGCTGCACGCTACGGTTCTCCAATCAAACATGCGCTCTCAGTCAGGCCGAAGGTACAGCCAGTTGTGCGACATTCTCCCTTTGGCCACTTTCCAATTACTTTTATTTTCCTCTTCATCATTGGTCGCCTTGGAGGCCGCTCTCTTCCCGCGCGGGCACTCCGGGGGAGGGGCGGGCCTGACAGGGCATTGCTAAGCGACAAAGACGCGCGCGGGGTCAGCCCGGTGAGGGAGCGGAGCTGGCGGAAGCGCTCAGGTAGCTGCGGGATGGACCACAGGTGAGGCCGATCCTTCTCCCGGGGACCACAGGAGGCCTGGGGAGGACCTAGGGTGAGATTAACAAAGCGTCGGGCCAGGTTTGCTCGGGTCCGGAGTCTCTTTTTCAACAGCACTGGAACTACAACTCCCAAGATGCTCACATCCTTTGGCCGCTCCAGCCTAGGACTTCACCATCGGGGTCCCGTAGCGTCTTACGTTCCGCTTTCCAAGTGGCTCCAGGGCCTTTTATTTTTCCTCTAAGGGTGTCCAGTGTCATCTTGGGAGTTCAATTGCTGAATTTTAAAAACTGCCCCCAGATTCCTATGGGTGTTGGTTTTGACCTTTCTTGCTTAGGCGGAGCCCAGTTACTGATGGGGATTGTAGTCCATTTACCATTTCCTCCTTCGTGTCCCCGGGACTTACGGGAAATGTAGAGAGAGAGGGTTTAGCCGTGGTTCTTAACGGCTTTGAAGCTGCACTTCAAAATCACTTGGGACGGTGCGAAAGAGATACAGATAACCAGCCACCTTCCAGATATTATGATTTCTTTTGGCTTGGGGTGAGGACCACGTATCTGTATTTTTAAAAGGCTCTTAGATTGGATTCAGGGTTAAGAACCACCAGTTGGCAGTTCCTTGGTTTTCTGAGACTGCCCCCAAGAGCTGGTGGGAATCGAGCCTCTAGTATCATTATCTCGAATGTGCAGCGCTGCTTCATGGGAATTATAGTCCATCTCTTCCTGCAATCTATGGGAATTGTCATCTGGTTCTGCCCTCCTCTTCCCAACCCCGAAACCTGACTCCACCCCACAACCCCCAAACAGGGGGGCTCTGCCTGCCAACCTCACTCTCCCCTTGCAGTCTGCCAATTTTCTCCATCCAAGACAGCCCCTTTGAGGATAGTCCCCTGGATCAAAGCCACTACTGGCCGTCCCAAAGCCAGACCTGGCACCCCAAGGTGAGGACACTCCATAGAGAGTGCTGTGTGTTAGCCCAGTGGTGAGGGAGTAACAACTAGAGGGAAGGAGGATATGTGATGGGGGTGGGGGGTGAGGGTTAAGAGACAGTCCTTCCTCATGGCTCTGCCCTCACCCAGTCCTCTGTTACCTGGATCACCTATCGTAGCCCCCAATCACTCTGAGTTGTTACCATTGTGGGATATGTTTCCTCCCCTCTCGACTAAGACACACTTCATGTGTGCCTTCATTCCCCTACAGGGATGACCCCTCAACCCTCACTTTCTTCTCCCTACCTCCCTGTCTTAGACCCTGAGCCCATCCAGGTCCCGGGGGTCCAGGCCCCCAGAAGCTCCCAAAGCTCTGGCCACAGGTCCCAACTCCTCTGAACTGTTTGAAGAGTCCTGGCCATCCAGCTCAGGGACCCCTTCCCCACCCAGCACCACTGAAGGACAGATGGGAGCCTCCCAACCACCCACCCTGGTTGACAGCAGGGAGTCCGTGGTGGCCAAGTAAGTAGCAGCAGCCCTGGGGGGGGGGGGAGAAGGGTTTGGATCAGGAGGGGGCAGGCATCCCATAATAATCACCATAGCCAGAGTTGTTTATGCAGCACTTTTAGGACCACACTTTATATGTGCTATTAAGGGCTCTGGAGCTAGGCTGCCTGGGTTCAAATCCCAGCTCTGTCACTTACCCTCTGTATGACTTGGGCCTCAGTTTCTTCATCTGTAAATTGGGGATATTAACAGCTCATATGCCCTAGGGCTGTTTTAAGCTTTCAATGAGTTACTGTTTATAAAGCATCTATAACAAGTGCTATCACATAGTGAGCCCTTGGATTTGTAGGATCCAAGTTCAGCTGCTCTAACAAACAGTCCCAAATTAATTGTGGCTCGAGCAAGATAGCATTTATTTCTCCCTCACCCAAACAGTCCAGGCAGAAGCAACCAGGGCTGATATGGCAGCCCCCGGCTGAGGTGTCAGGGACACAGTTTGCCTCTGTCTTGTTGCCTCCCATCACTAGGCTGTTGTCCTTTCCTTTATGGACCAACCATAAAGGAAATGTGGCTCCCAACCACATCCACTTGCCAGAATCACACCTCATCTCATAACCCTGCTGGTCAAGAACCTAGTTACGTGGCCATTAAACTATTGGGACCCCTGATAAATATATCTGTAGAAGAGTGGCTATGTGCCCAGGATTATACAGTCTTACATAATATTGCATTACTCTGTAAGAGAGAACAGATGTTGAGGGACAAGTACTAGGTACTGCCAAAGTAATTGATAAACATCACTATTGTGATTGTTATTGTCATTATTATTATTATTATTATTTGGCTCTCCTCATTCACTCACCTCCCATTCTCTGATGCTCACAGGTACATAAACCGGTTCCGCCAGGCTCAGCCCACAAGCCGAGAGGAACGCCAGCCTGCAGGCCCAACCCCAGCTGACTTTTGGTGGCTACGGCCTAAATCTCCAGACACCCCCAGTCAACTTGCAGCAGGTACCTGCTTCAGTCCTATCCCCTGCTGGCCTAAAGCCTTTCCTGATCAATGCCCCCAGCAGAAATTCCTCATGGCCCCCCAAAATCAATTGGGGCTTCTCAGCAGGAGCCAGTGAACCAGAAGGAAGACCCAACACAGCAGTCCCAACTCTTGCAAAGGTGGCCAGCGCATCTCAGGCTAAGGCTGTGGCTCCCCTTGAGGAAATGAAACAGGTGACATCCTCATTTACTTTCTTCCCTATGTACCTGAACTGACACCACCAGCCCTAGGATAGAATTAGAGTCAATCCCCAATTCAAGGAAGCTTAAACAAAAAAGGAGGATTTCTTGGCTAATGCAATCAAGAAATCCAAATGTATATGCTTTCAGGAATGGCTGGATCCAGGTGTTTGACCACTATTAGGAGGAACTCGACCCTCTTGACTCTCTGTTCCTCTTTCTTGGGCTCAATCTCAGGCAGGCTTTCCCCTTGAAGTAGTGAAGATGGCCCCAGTGATTCTAGGCTTTTAACTTACCCATCCAAAGCCCCAGGGCTTACTCTCATTCGTTCATCTTTGAGCCAATCACTGTGGAACCGAGGACAGATTGTTGTGATTAGCCAGGCCTGGTCAGAAAGGTGGGGTCAACCCTTCTCCCACAATAATGACTACAAGCAGGGGTGTGCAACCCCAGAGGAAAACTGGGTCCCTCTTCCCTGAGGAGGAGGAGCGGATTCCTTAGAATGGCTTACCAGCATGTGAGGATACCAGGTGGAAGGCAGACCTGTACTCCAGGCCCTCTGTCCAAAGCCCCTTTCCCAGCACCCTTTAAGATGGGGGCTAGTCTCTAATCCCTCTTTCCTCGCAGAGCCTCAACACATGGAACTCATCCCTGCTGGACCTGGAGACACTGAGCCTACAGAGCAGAGCTGCCAGGCTGCTCAAACGCAGGTGCCTTCCCTGCCCCCATCCTCCTCCCCACTCCTACAGCTCCATGCCCCCCCGCACCGCCTCTGAGACCCCCCTGTTGCCTCGCTTCTGCTTTCTTCCTACAGCAAGGCCTCCATCTCCTCCTCCTCACTCAGCCCTAGCGATACCAGCAGCTCCTCATTCCCCGTCAGCTCTGATGGCCTCTCTCCCTTCTCCGCGACCTTCACCCCTGACTCCAGCAAGGGCTCTGACCACAAGGCACATGGTAAGTTCTGAGGCAAGGATGAAGAAGAGACTGGGTGTGAATCCCAGCTCTGACATTTACCAGCTGGGTGACCTGGGGCCTCTCTGGGCCTCTCTGTTTCTCCAGCTTTAAAACAGGGGTAATAAATGAGTTGCGGGATGCAGGGAGCTCTTGCCACAGGTCCTAACGGTACCTATCATTAGTATGACAGGCTCTCTCCGCATCCTGTTTGCAGTTCTGAACACAAATTTCCAAAATCAGATGGCTTTTTGCTCAGTTGGCCCTGTACCTGATTGGACAGCAAAATCTGACCTAAAGAATAAGAAGGCTGTTTATCATCTCTCTATATCTCATTGAGGGTGAATAGACATACTTTTTATTTGGCTGTGTTAAATTGAACCATATGAAACTTTTGTCTTTGTCGGTAAAAAATGGTTGAATATGGACAATTTCATATTGTTCAACCAAATACTGTGTTTGAGTCTGGTGTACCGAGCAAGCCCCCTGTTGACGCTGGACATACAATGTGACTTTGCTGAAGCAGGCCGACTGTTGAACGCTCAATTCCTGCCACCTGAAGTCTTCAGATTTCAGATATGGGATTAAGGACCTGGATTACTATTACTCCATGGCCAGGTCCTGGGGCACAGTGGCGCACAGGACAGATGCTGTCTGTGTCTCATGGGGCTTGAGTGAATGGGGGACAGGGAGGCACGGTAAACAGGGAGGTGTCCTGCGTGGTGTGTGTGATCCTGGCTGAGCTCTCGCTTGTCTGATTCTTTGCTTCTTTTCGGCTTTACCTCACCTTTTATTCACCTCTCCTTCCTGAGCCTCAGTTTTCTCATCTGCAAAATGGGGATAAGACTAGTACCTACTTCATGAGTTGTCCTTCAGATTAAATTTACTCATTCTTTCATCTGAAAAACACTGACTACCTATTGTGGATGAGGCCCTGGGTGGGGGCTTGAGGATTCTACAGTGAACCAACCATGTGTGGTCCCACCTTCATGGTCCTCACAGTATAGTGAATGTGGGGCAGAAATAGCTACATAACCCCACAAATACATGTGAAATGTAAGCAGAAATGAGGGCCATGCAAGAGAGGATTGTGATGCTGGGAAGTCAGGGAAGGCCTCCTTGGAAGAAGTGCTGTCTAAGTGGAGACCTGAACAATGAAGGTGGGGACAAGAGGCCTCTAGCATATACGGAGGACCTGAAGTGGGGGGAGCATGGTGAGGATAACAGACTAGAAAGGGCGGGGGGGGGGGCATGTGTGGGGGGTGAGAGTAGTGTGGGGTCAGGTGGAAGAGATTGACAGGGGTCAGATTACATTGGGCCATGGGAGGCATTTGGTCATTAGCTTAGTACTGGGGAGCCACGGGAGGGTTCTGAGCAGGGAGGGATGGGATCTTTCTTGGGTTATTAACAGACTCCCTCTGGCTGCTATCGGCCCCCCAGTGAGAGACGCTGGTAGTTTCTCTTGGGCCAGAGCCTGAGGAACAGAGTAGAGGGAAGTGGCCAGGTTTGGAAGTAGAGTCACAGGATACAGAGGGGAGTGGGGGGGGGGGAGAGAGATCCAGGATGACACCCCCCTTCTCTGCAGCATCAGATGGTGGGGCTTCAAAGAGACCATGGGAGCCCTACTGGTCATGACCGATGAAGTTATGCTCTGGGTGATGGGAATGATGTCCATTTGCCCCATTGAACTGAGGACGGCCCGTGGCCCTGCCCCTGGTCACTGCTGTATCCCTAGCACAGGTCTGGACGCTGCACTTCCATATAATAAATAGTTCATTTGGCATTTATGCCACAAATACTGATGGCACCAGGCCTTGTTCTTGACACTGAGGATATAGTGATGGTCAGACAGACGAAAACCTCCTTGTGTAGCTGCCATTGTGAAGGGAGAGCGAAGTAAGCAAAGCAGTACCACACTGAATATGTTAGAAGGTGAAAAGAGCTAAGGAGAAACCTGGAACAGGAGAGAGGATAGGGGCTGGGGGTTGTTGCAATTTTAAATAGAGTAGCCAGGGAAGGCCCCACTAAGAAGATGATACTGAGCAAAGATCTGAAGCATGGGAGGGATGGAACCCTGGGGATACAGGAGGGAACAACACAAATGCAAAGGCTTTTGCTTTTTACCAGGACAGGGGAGGGTTCCAATCCTGGAGGACCCTGATCTGACTCAGGTGTTCCCAGGCTCCCTCTGGCTGCGGGGTGGGCTGGGGGTGGGGGAATGGGACAGATTGGGAGGACAGAAGTAGAGAGACCAGAGAAGAGGTTGCTGTGGGGTTGGCCCCAGGAAAGGGCAGTCAAGAGAGGAAGAAGGGGACTGATCCTGGAGAATCTGTCTTGTTCACTGCTGTAACCACAATGTCCAGAACAGTGCCTGGCATATGGTAAGAAATCAATAAATATTTGCTGATGAATAAAGAACTGAATGATGACAGGTTGAGAAGCCCATGAGTGCTCTCTCCTCTGACTGCCCCTTTTCTCACTTCCTGCTTGGGAGAGGAGGTGGGACATTACCTGGAGAGCCTGTCTGAATACCTTTCTGGTACAGTCGAAGGGTGTATGCACAGGCTGTCCTTGGTTTGCTCATCACCCCAGCCTGTGGCCTTACCCTTCCTCCTTCTACTTACCCCACAGTAACACCAGCACCTGCCCCCATCCCTGCTCCAGCCCCGGTCTCCTCCCAGGCACCCCTGCGTCCAGAGGATGATATTCTGTACCAGTGGCGGCAGCGGCGGAAGCTTGAACGGGCTCGAGGAGGGCAGGGTGATGGAACCTGGGTACTACCCCGGACTCCTTCCCTCACCACTCTAGTGAGACAGGGGAGGGAGGAGGCTGAGGGGGCTGGAGGGAGGGATGCTAAGGGAAGTTGGAGGAAGGGGAAGCCAGAAGGGGACCGAAGAACCCTCTGTCCTTTCTCTCCCTCTCAGGTCCCTGCCCCCGTTTGTCTACAGGCCCTTCCTGCCCCTGCAGAGACCCTTGGCTCCCTGGGAACCCAGCCTACCTGTGTCCCACATTGGGCCAGTGTGGCCCGATCGGGGCCCCTGGAGGCCTTCTATATGGAGAGGCCTCCTATTCCCCCAGGGTTCCCTCCACACATCTTTTGGGGCCCCAGCCCCCATGGGTTCTTCTGGGCCCCGCAGTCTGGTCCCTGCGTATCTCTCGGGGCCATTCCTCCCATGCCCTGTACCCCTGCGCCTCCGGCTGCCACCTCGGCACCCGCAGCCTCCACCCTCCCGCCCCCAGCCGCCCCCCAGGATCCACCCACTCCTGCTCCAAGCTGCCGGGCGCAGCCCGAGAAGCAGGGCCCCAAGCCTCGGAGTAGCGGAGGCCCGCGCCAGGAGTCCGCTGGGACAGTCGTGGCAGCTGACGAGGGGCCTGGCCCGCAGCTCAGAGGCGCCCTGGGCCAAGTAGTATCCGCTCGGCTCTTCCCGGACAGCCTGGAGGACACGCCCCCTCACCTTGAGGGCCCACCTCTGCCCGAGGCTGAATCTCTGAAAGTCAAGGCCACACACCCCCAAACCAAGATTGCGCCACCTCGCTCAGAGGTCACTCCCCCTGTATCTGGATCACGATTTCCCAGAGCACAGACTCCGCCAGGTCGGTCTAAAGCCGAGTCTCGGAAAGCCCAGGCCACGCGCCCCCTAGCGGTGTGGGAGCCTCGGAAAGACAAAGACACTCCCTTGGCTGAAGCTGGGTATCCGCCGCCCAAGGTCCCGCCCCCTCCAGCTGAGGAGGCGTCCCCTGGCCCCGAGGCCCCGCCCCCTCCCTCCAAGGCGGAGCCTCTCGAGGAGGTGGCTACGCCCCGGTCCGCTGCTGAGCACGCCCCCTCAGGAGATCTGCTCTGCCAGGCTGCCCGACTTCTGGAGGCGGCAGAAGGTGGGCTGATGTGCGTGGCTGTCCGCATCTGGATGGCAGTCCAGCACCTTACGAGTCGACCTCCTGGCGCTCGCCTTTCTCCCCCTAGACTCCGACGGCAGCGAGTTCCAGGACGACCCGGTACTTCAGTTGCTAAGAATTCAGAGGGCCGAGCTGAGACGGCAGAAAAGGTGACCATCACCGGGATCTACAACACCCCGTTCCCAGAGCCATCCATCATCCCAGACCCCAATCCTGAGCACATAACCTCAGCCTCTACTACCCTGGCTTTTTTTGCAGGGAAGTGGACGCCCAACTATCCCTCTTACTGTAGCACACTGAAGACTCAGGGACTTGGTCTCCTCTAACCAGGTCGCCCCCCAGGTCCCCAGGAAGGCGGCCGCAGAGGGGAGGAGCTTCTCTTGAGACCAGGTGGCGCTGAATTGTACAACTTATGTTTTTCCCAATAAAATTTTTTTCATGTTACTGATTGTCCCTGAGAAAGTTGTTCTGGAAAGGCTAAGGGTCATGCTAACTCAGAGAAATAGCTCCCTCCCTCCTCTACCCACCCCCTGCCCCACCCCCACTCTAGTTCCTGACAGTTTGGCACAAAATCTCTTCTGGTTTCCCCTCTGAGGAATCCTCTCTGAGGTCAGGACAGGGATGTGGTTCCAGGTCAGATTTGAGGCAAGACTGGGACTCCCCTTAGTTGACTCTCAGCTCAGAAGTGGATCCTCCTGTCTCAGTGGACACCAAAGGGCTGTGTTCTGGCCATGAAGCTAATGGGGTCATCAGAGTGCTGGGCAATGGTCAGTCCTCAGTCCACAGCCTTCTTGAGCCAGCGGCAGCATATGGTGTGCTCATCCCTTCCTCCTTGAAACTCTTCCTTTCCCTGCTTCCAGTGTCACACCTTGTCATTGCCCCAACCTGTCACTTGAGCATGTCCCAGGTCCCTGGCCTTAACTGTCTATATTCATTCCCAGGTGCTCTCATCTAGCTTCACCACTCTAACACCCATCTCTATTCTAATGGTCCCCAAATTTCTATCTTCAGCCTAGATCTGGCCACTGAAACTTAGGCTCCTGTATTCTGCTACCTGCTCACCATTTCCATTCAAAGGCTTAAGAGATGTCTCCAACCCCACAGGTCTTAAACTGAACTCTCAATCTTCCCCCTAAACTTGCCCCTCCCTGGTTTTCCTGAGCTCCATCCCTGCAGCTGCTCAGGCCAAAAGCCTCCTGGCCTTTCTTGACTCTTCTTTTTCCCTCACCCCACCGTCAGTTAGTTGATTAGCAATTCCTGTAAATTCTATCCAGAATTTAATCCTTCTTCCGATGCCCTCACTCCAGTCTAAGCTGTATCACCTGTCTGGACTTTTGAAAAACCAGTTGTTTTGTCTGTAAATTCTTTGACACACTTCCCATTAAAAAGTAGAGTCTGTGTCCCTTCTCCTTGAAACTAGGTAGAACTTTGGGGACTGCCTCAACAAATAGAATACAAAGGAAATGTTACTGCTTTAACTTTCTAAACCAGATTAGAAAAGATTATACAATTTCCACCTGGTGCCCCTGCATCCCCTCTCTTTTGTGTACTTTGGAGCCCTAGGCTACTGTATAAAAAGTGCAGTTGCCCTGCTGGGTAGGGATTTTGGTTATACAGGTGTATACACTTGTCAAAATTCGGTGAAAATTCTGAATTTTATTGTAGGTAAAGTTGACCTCAAAATAAAAACAAATACTGAACTGTAGTTAAAGATATGCATGCTGAAATGTTTAGGGGACAGCATACCAATGTCTGTTATTTATTTTGAAATATACCCCCAAAATAGTAAGATTAATGGAATAGAATGAATAGAGTAATAGGTGACTGTGACATAAAGCAGACAAAGTAAAATGTCAATGGTAGGATCTGAGTGGTGGGTATATGGGTGTCTACCATGAAATTCTTCAACTTTGCTGTATGTTAAAATGTCGGAGAATGTATGATCGGAATTATTTTGGTATCTGTATTTATAAAAAAAGGAGGATAGAATAGGTTTCTGTTAAAAGTAGCTTCGGGGGCAGCTGGGTGGCTCAGTCAGTTAAGCGTTTGCCTTCTGCTCAGGTCATGATCCCTGAGTCCTGGGTTTGAGCCCCACTGGAGCCCCAGGAGCTCCATGTCAGGCTCCCTGCTCAGCAGGGAGCTTGCTTCTCCCTCTGCCCTTCCCCCTGCTAGTGCTTACTCTGTCTCTCTCAAATAAATAAATAAAATCTTTTTTTAAAAAGTAGCTTCTGTATATCATAGACACGGTATATGTTTGTTTTCAGCCTTTTTGAACAAACCATACATTTAAATGAAATCAAAAAGAAGGAAATCTCTGTTTAAATATAAAGAGAAATGAAAGATGTTTATAGCAGCAGAACCTGATCTAGTTGGGGGGTGACTGGAGCCTAGGATTTCTGAGGAAGTTACACTTAAGCTGAGACAGGTAGGAATTAACTCATTGACAAAGGACCATCCTAATTACTATTGCTGGAGTATAAATCAGCCCCAAAACTGTGGTGTGAAGCAATCATTTTATTATGTTCATGGATTCTATGAGTCAGAAATTCGGACAGGGCACAGCTGGGGACAGTTTGTCTCTGCTCCATGATGTCTAGGGGTTCAACTGGAAAGACTCAAAGGTGACTCAACAGCCAGGGGCGGAATCCCTGGAGCTCCTTCACTTACAAGTCTGGCACTAGGGCTCAGATGACTCCAAGGCTGGGTTCAGCGGGAACTGTGGACTGTAGTGCTTACCCAGGGTCTCTCCATAGGGCTTGGGCTTCCTCAAAGCATGGCTTCCTGGCCATAGTTGCACTTCTCAAAGCTCTAGAGCTAGTCATTCCAGCGGACAAAAAGGAAGATGCATTGCTTTTTTGCTACTTAGTCTTGGATACCACATAATGTCAATTCCACTATTCTCTGTTGATTGAAGTTGTCAGTCTTGCCCAGATTCAAGGGGGCGGGGACAAAGACTCCAGCTTTTCATGAAAGCAGTGTCAAAGAATTTGCAGTCGTGTTTTAAAACCACCACAGGGGTTGGTGGGGCGTGGGGTGCGGGGATGAGGGGAGACTGCAGGCAATGGGAACATCATGTAGGGAATCCCTGTGATGAGGTGAAGTCAGCAAGTTCAATAAGTTGAAATAAGTAACCCTAAATTGACCCCTCCCTCAGCATTCCCTTTCCCCAATGCCGGCTTAACTTTTTATCCATAGAATTTATCACCTTCTAATTTTCTATATTTTTGGATATTTTGTTCATTGTCTTCTCCCACCAGCTTTTGAGCTGCATGTGAGCACGGTATGTTTTCCCTTGCTTTGGTTACTGATGTAGCCACAAATTAAGTGATTAGAGTTTTTGAATGAATGAGTGAATGAATCACAGTTGTACTTTCTGAGGTGAGGGGCCCTGTTGGGAACATGACCAGTGGAAAAGTTCTCTTGGAAAGGGCATTGTTATAGTGTTTTCTGGGCCTGGCTCAAGTCGGAGGCGGAACGACTGGGACTGGCTTTATGGGAGGCGTGGTCATGTTCTGGCATTTTGGGCTAAGCCAAGTCCTAGGAAAAAGGAGTCAAGCCTGGAAGCCGGCCTGTAAGAAGCAGTAGAGGAAGGAGGCAAGGACAATGTCCAGTGGGAAGGGCGAGGCTAAGTCGCAGAGAGCCTAGGATTACGTCCCAGGCAGGGTGTCTGAGCCAGTGAAAACCGTCCATGGGCAAATGCCCTCAGTATTCTGTGGGCAGTGTCAGGGTCGGGACTGACAAGATGGGGCTAGAGGATTGAGACGTTGAAAAGCCGCTTGGGGATGGGGAAAAGCTCTGAGGCCATGGAAGAATCCAACTAAGAAAGTCAAAGGGGGAAAAAAGTGTCAGAGGACTAGTCACTGAGAGTGGACTAAGGGGAGGGCCCACTGCTTAGTGTTAGAAGTGTTGGAAGCAAAGCATAAAGAACCTAGGGGTGTGTCTCAGGAGGGTAATAACAGCCAATGAAAAGCAGTCATGGGCGCGGCGCTGTCAAACTTCACGGGGCGGGACCGAAGAGACCGAGCCAGGGATGGGACCGAAGCCTGAGCCAATGAAAACCCGCCGGGTGGGCGGGGCGTCGTCCTAAGGCCAAGGGTGGAGCCAATGAGAAGCGGCGCCGCGTCCCCGCCGCCCCCGCCTCCGTGGGGCGCGCGCCGGAGCCACGGGCAGCCGTTAGGGGCGGGGCCTGCAGCCGCCCGCGCGCGGCTCGCGCCCTCCCCTTTGTGTCGCCATGGCGGCGGCAGCGGCGACGAGGACGACGAGCGAAGGATCGAGCGCTGCCGGCGCCTGAGGAGGCTACGCTACCATGGTGGTGAGGGGCCCACGCGGCCGTCAGTCCGTCCGCGTGTCAGTCTGTCCGCGCGCGGCCCCGCCCCGCGCGCCCCGCCCCCGGCCCCGCCCGAGCCCGCGGCCTGCGCCGCCCCTCACCCCTCGTCCAGGTCCCTCTCGTCCCCCGGCCGGGTCTTGGGCCCGAGCCCTTACCCCGGCCCCGCCCCCTCAGTGTGCATCCCCTTCCACGCCCTGGATGGAGGTGACAGTGGCCGAGGACCCAGGCTTGGGGGGGATGGGCTAGTCCCGGGAAGGACCCGCACCCCCAAGTGTCCCCCGCACCCAGGGACCTGCTGAAGCTTCCTGGGTCCTTCGCCAGCCCCCATCCCACAGCCGTCCTCCCATCTTCTCCCAATCTCCACCCCTCCCTGGCTAGCCCCCTCCCCCTCCTACCACCAGCCCCTTTCGCGTTCTTGAGCCCCACCCCCACCCGGCTCCATCCTCAGCCTGACCCTTTTCTTCTCATTCTCACTCCGTTCTGCTCCCTCTCAATCAACCCTTCCCACCCCCCCCATCAGCCTGAACCTCAGCCTCTCCAGCGTCTCCCCTCTTCTTACTCCACCCCAACCCCAAGCCAGCAGTGTACCTCTCACTAGATCCTTGGGTCCTTCTCCATCTTCTTGTCCTCACCCTCCCTCCCCACCATCTCCCTTTCCCACCATGCTGCTCCTGCTCATTCATCCATTCATTCCCTCATTCGCTCACTTAACAGACATTCCCTGATACCTCCTGGCAGACCCCATGTTCCAGACGCAAAGAGATTCACCTCCCGTCCTGCCTTGGGGAGCTTCATGGGCTGGAGAGGGACAGAACCGAGGGTGAGACCCAAGGATGAACCTGAGGTTGCAGGGATACGAAGGAGGGAGAGGCTAGAGCCCAGCCTGGGAAGTCCCGATCTGGCAGCTGGTTATTTTATTCATCAGATTTTACAGGGCTCCTGCTGTGTGACAGGGCATTGGGACCCAGAGAAGAATCAGGCACAACCTTACCTGTGAGGAGCATCAATTCTGTGCCCAGCTCTGTGCTGGGTCCCTGATCCTGGGGCAGTCACAGTCCACTGGGGGAGAGGGACTTGTCACCAGTGATATCTCAGAGTGCTCAGGGCTGGGATTGGG